ACAAAGTATAATATGGATTTCAAACATCCACACGGAAATGTTTTTACTAATAAAAACAACTTAAAATATAACTAGTTCTGTATACCAAAATAAAAAAAAAATGAATTATATAAACGTTACATTTTCCGATCTTTCTATTGATTTTTATGAAGTGGATGCACAGCGGGACTAATTCATATTGGGGCAGTCTGTTTTCAGAGGGTGAATCTGAAAAAAAAACATATGCAGACATGATTTTCTCAACATAAACGGTGGTGCAGACATGATTTTCTTGATATAAACGGTGGTGCAGCATGTTGCGGATAGTGGATACTTTCCGGTACAGTTCATTTAAAATTAAAATGGGCGTCATCGTGTCCGTTAGTTAAAAAGCAGAATATATTTTTATAATAGTTCATTTGTGAGCAAATTTTATTAGTTGAAGATATTGCCAAAACAAATTTATCAAGAAAAATTGACATAATTTCTATTATTACACCAAAATTTAGTAGGAGCTCTTTTCAATATCAGTTGGCCCAACGATAGATTGATAAGAAAATTAAATTTTAGAGAACAAAAATAAAAGCGCAGAAGATTTGATGCATCGAACAACATTTTTTAATTTCCTAATTATAGAAAATATTTTATAACGTAATAAAAACTATTGATTAAACAGCATAATAATATATTTTAAAAACGCATGGAATATGAAATATTAACAAAAAAATGTGAAAGTTTACCACTTATTTTTAATGACATCCACATTTCTTCGAAGCATAGTTTTTACCAAAAAAATTTTTTTTAGTAAAAATCTTTACCAAGTTCTGACAAAATTCTAATGTAAACGAATCCCACATTTCTTGTAATTTTTCCTTCAATTGGTTAACTGACCTGTCTCCTATGGCCACTGTATTTGGGATTGCAAAGGCATAAGTGCTTCGAATTGCTTTTTCCATCGACTTATTCTCCTCCTGATTTTGTCCCCTCCGATTATTATGTGTTCCTAAATTTAAAGAGATGGCTCGTAAATTAACGCCTATTTTGTAGAGCTTCTAGAATCGTATCATTCGAACGGCATAATTATCATCATCAGCCCTTTTAAGTCCACTGCTGACTATAGGCCTCCCGTAAATAATTCCGTTGCTTCCCATCTGGAGCACATTAAATCCAGTTGTGCTTGATGTCGTCCGACCACCTTGTTGGAGGACGTCCTCGAATCTCGATTACGATAAACATCGTGCATTATTCACGATATTATTCACAATAAGCAATTACTCTTTCAAATCATCATCATCTTTGGCTCGACAATCCTCTGTGGATCTTGGCCTGCTCTAAGATTCGTCGCCATTCTGTTCGGTTTTTGGCAACATGTTGCTATCTTCTGATTTTTAATATTCGTAGGTCGGTTTCTACTCCATCTAACCACCTAATTCGCGGTCGGCCTTTGCTTCTTGTTCCTACAGGTGTTCCTGTGGTTAGCTTTTTAGCAATGGTATTTTCTGGCATTCGTATTATGTGTCCAGCCCATCTAAGTCGCTGTGTTTTAATGAACGTTATGACATCTGGCTCATCAAAGAGCTGATACAATTCAAAATTATATCTTCTGCGCCACTGCCCTTGGTCGTTTACAGCTCCAAATATTTTGCGGAGTATTTTACGCTCAAATATTCCCAAAAGTCTTTCATCTTTCTGCGTTAATGTCCATGTTTCTGCTCCATATGTGAGGACCGGCCTCAGCAATGTTTTGTATATAATAATTTTAGTTCTTCTTTGAATGTTTCTTGAGTGGAAATGCTTTTGGAGTCCATAGTATGCTCTATTTGTAAGATTTATTCGTCTTTTGATTTCTTCGCTTGTTTTATTGGTAGCAGTCAATAGCGACCCAAGGTATGTGAAGTTGTCAACACGTTCAAAGGTATGACTTCCAAAGACTGTTTCTCGTTCCTCATTTGCTGTCGGATCCTTTGTAACCAACATGTACTTGGTTTTGTCTTCGTTGATGACTAGACCGACTTGTTTCGCCGCTGTTTCCAATTCTAGGAGATATTGCTCAACATCTCGCTTGCTACGCCCTATTATGTCAATGTCATCAGCATATGCTAAGACTTGTATCGATCTATTGTAAATAGTACCGCCGTCCCTAATTCGTGTATCTCGGACTGCCTTTTCTAAGGCAATATTAAATAGGAGGCAAGCCAGAGCATCTCCTTGTCTGAGTCCATCCTTTATCTCAAAGGATCTAGAACTCTCTCCCTGTATTCTAACAGTGGCTTCTAAGTTAGACATTGTCATTCTCGTTAGTCGGATAAGTTTCTCTGGTATACCAAACTCATGCATTGATTGGTATATCACTGTTCTCTTGACACTGTCATATGCTGCCTTGAAGTCGACGAATAGGTGATGGGTTTCAATATTGAATTCTAATGTTTTCTCGAGAATCTGTCTTATTGAATGAATCTGGTCAATTGTTGATTTTTCTGGAGTGAATCCAACTTGATATTTACCAACTATGCCCACTGTGTAAACTTGCAACCTTTCGTAGAGAATATTTGCTAGTATTTTGTAAGCAGTTGTTAACAGGGTTATACCTCTATAGTTGTCACACTGGAGCTGGTCACCTTTTTTATGTAACGGGCATATCACGCCTTGATACCATTCACAAGGCATGGTCTCATTATGCCAAACAAGAAGTAAAAGCTTATGCAGTGTCTGTAGTAGGGCATCGCCACCATTCTTGTAGAGCTCACTGCAAATTTGATCAACTCCTGGTGATTTATTATTTTTAAGCTTTTTAATGGCTTGGGCAACGTTTTCGATGGTAGGTGGTCTTTCGTTTGGGTTGAAAGGATTCCAATCATTTCGATTTGCTAGGGTGTTATCTGCTTCTTCGATATGATGGCCATTAAATTTTGCATCGAAAAATTCAACCCATCTGTTTAGGATTGAGGCCGTATCATTTAGGATGTTTCCTTCTACATCCTTACAGCTCCTTATTCTTGGCTTAAACTCTTTGCGCATTTTGTTTAGATGTCTGTAGAACTTTCGAGTTTCATTTTGATTTCTTAGAAATTCTGTGCTTTCCAATTGCTTTTGCTCAAATTGTCTTTTTTTTCTTCTATGTAATCGTTTTTCTTCTCTTCTTAGTGTCCGGTATTCTTCCTTTGCTCTTCTTGTGCATCCAGCTTGATTTGTCTTTAGGTATGCCCTGTTTTTGTTATCTGTTGCTTCTTGGCACTCCTTGTCAAACCATTCGTTTTCTTTAACTGGTTTGGTTTTCCCCAATATTTTTGTTGCTTTCTCAGTTATTATGTTTTTGTAGAGCTTCTAGAATCGTATCATTCGAACGGCATAATTATCATCATCAGCCCTTTTAAGTCAACTGCTGACTATAGGCCTCCCGTAAATAATTCCGTTGCTTCCCATCTGGAGCACATTAAATCCAGTTGTGCTTGATGTCGTCCGACCACCTTGTTGGAGGACGTCCTCGAATCTCGATTACGATAAACATCGTGCATTATTCACGATATTATTCACAATAAGCAATTACTCTTTCAAATACATTGTGCAAAATAATTTATAAATCGCTTCTGCTAATTAACTTTTCTTACAAAAAATATAGAAAAGAAGAGTAATTTGTTTTACATATTTTTATGTTTCAGTTTGTTTAAAGAGTATAATTCGACAAGCGAGAGCTGGCGGGTGAGCTGCGCGAAAATAGAAAAGGAATTATTCTAAGAGAGATAGGAGAGGTACTTAATCGCGATAATAGGTATATAATATAGGTACTTAAACGGTTATACACGATGTGAACTCCTAGCCGACTGCAATAGAAATGAGCTATGAGCAATTCCTTCCACTTTTCAATTTGTTCTACGCGCAACCCGCCAGCTCTCGCTTGTCGGGTTATAATAAGTTACAAAATCCGTAAAATAGTTTCGAATTAGATGTCGCTAGCGCGTCCGTATTGAAGCCATGTTATTGTTGCTTCTTAAAAGGCAGAAAATATTGATTTTTCACGTTGAGAACTCCTATGAATAGCTGTTCTGATGAGACCTATTAGGTCGAAATACGTATCAACAGATACATAGGATTTGTTTGCGTGAAATCAAATATTTGCTGCCTTTTTTCAAGTAATAAGTTAGGTTAGGTTCAATATGAGAGGGCGCTTAGCACTCTACTACTCGAATTAAAAAGCCTATTGTGGCGTGAATGATAAACCCAGTGGTTTCCAATTAGTAATGGACAATTACATGAAAATATTGATTTTTCACGTTGAGAACTCCTATGAATAGCTGTTCTGATGAGACCTATTAGGTCGAAATACGTATCAACAGATACATAGGATTTGTTTGCGTGAAATCAAATATTTGCTGCCTTTTTTCAAGTAATAAGTTAGGTTAGGTTCAATATGAGAGGGCGCTTAGCACTCTACTACTCGAATTAAAAAGCCTATTGTGGCGTGAATGATAAACCCAGTGGTTTCCAATTAGTAATGGACAATTACATGGGTTTATCTGTGAAATATAATTAAAACACTATTTCCTACCATGTAGGTTAGGTTAGTTACTATACTTCATTCAATTTCAAGTGATTCTTGGGTGTCATGCCATCACAGCTTGTAATTGGTGAGAAATTAAGTGAGAAAAGACACGACACACCCACCGATCACGTGTCTGAAACTGTTTACCTCGAGCTTATCTTGAAATTGCATAAAGTATAGTCGATAAAGCCCAGGTCACACGACTTAATGAATTAGCTACATAAGCTATTGTGATTATAAATGATTGGTCCGTGGTCAGAGTTTATATTAAATTTGTATGAATTAAATTGTAAATATAACTTTACAATACAGTCATCATGATGTACCAGAATTTGCATTTGACAATGCATCTTTTGCTACAAAAATATTCATTAAAACGATTTTATAAACAGTAATAACAATTCTTTATAACATTTTACATTGGAGTTTTTTAATTACATTTAGTATGTTACTCATTGCAAACACTAGAATTTGTTTTTAGATGTTTCCTGGCAATGTAGACGGTGACACTATTCACAAAAATGAATTTGAGGTGCCAATTATTGCCCAATGGATTAGAATAAACCCTACACGATGGCGAGATCGTATATCTCTCAGGGTCGAATTGTTTGGCTGTGAATATGGTAAGTAAACCGTTAAAGGTTTTAATGTATTAGTTTTTAATTAGTTTGGATATATTTTTTATCAATTGTGTATAAAAGTATCAATTTTGCTACCGTCCGTAATTTTGTTCAATAAGTATATTATACTGCCTTGGTCACTCTCTGGTCTTTTGGTACGCCGCTAAAAATATTGACAAATTTTCCAGTTAAAGTGATTCCCTTGCCTTTTTTCTTTGTTTTTGTAATGACAGATATGGATATTTTTTGTTCTAGTCCTTTAGTCCTTTCTGAAAAATTTTATACCAGTAAACGACAGACTAGCAATACTCCAATTAAATAGCAAACCATTTAATGTCAATGTTATCCAGATATATGCCCTTACTGCAGAAAATAAATATGATAATGATGCCGAATCATTCTATAGCCAATTAAAACAGACACTTAAAAATCTAAAAAGTAACGAAGTCACATATATTATTGGAGATTTTAACGCAAAAATTGGCCAAGGCCGAAGATCTGACCTGGTAGGTGAATATGGACTAGGGGAGAGCAATGAAAGAGGCGATAAATTATACCAGTTCTGTCAAGAACATGACATGATAATCGCAAATACATGGTTCAAATTACACAAAAGAAGGTTATACACATGGAGGGGACCAGGAGATAATTCACTACATATGATTAGAAATCAGATAGACTATATTATGGTAAACAAGAGATTTAAGAATGGCGTCACCAGAGTAACGACATATCCTGGTGCAGGTATCGGTTCAGACCATAACCCTGTAATAACTGACATCAAAGTGAAGCTCAAAAAAGTCCAAGAAAGCCCCAAAACACCAAAATTAAATATCTCAATATCCAACAAAACGTTAATAGAAAATGACTTAAACAATAAGCTAAAGAAATCAATAAATGAAAACAACACAAATATGGAATAAATTTAAAGATCTTACCTTGAAAGTAATAGAAAAATATTCAACAACGTTACACATTCACAAAAAACAACAATGGATGACTGATGAAATCCTGGAATTAATGGAGCAGAGAAGAAAACTGAAAGGTAACAAGACAGAATATAAGGAAAAACAGAAACTAATTAAACAAAAAATAAAGGTGGCTAAAGAAAAATGGATGGAGGATAAATGCAAGGAATTAGAAAAGTTGAATGAAAAACAATACGTTTAATATGTTTAAAAAAGTTAGAGAAGTAGCTGGTCTTTATCATAAGAAAACTCCACATACTATAACCGATTCGTCGGGAAAAATGATAATAGACGAACATGAAATTCGAACAACCTGGTGTAATTATATAAGTGAACTGTATAATGATGATAGACCCGAAAAACCGGAGACTTTAGTTGAAGGTGAGGGACCAGAAATACTAAAATCAGAAATACTGCATGCTATAAAGTTAGCAAAGAACAAGAAAGCCGTTGGCCCTGATAACATACCGACAGAGATGTTAAAGCTTATAAATGAGGAGAACATTGGAATACTGGTCAAACTTTTCAATGATGTTTATTCGACTGGTGATATCCCTGAAGATTGGTTAAAGTCCGAATTCATAACACTACCAAAAAAACAACGTCCGAAAAACTGTAGCGATTATAGAATGATAAGCCTTATGAGCCACACTTTGAAAATATTTCTACGCATCATCCACAGTAGAATCAGAGATAAATGTGAAGAAGATCAGGATGAAACACAATTTGGCTTCAGAAATGGACTGGGAACTCGGGACGCCCTCTTTGCACTAAATGTATTACTGCAGAAATGTCGAGATCAAAGGAAAGACGTCTTTGCTGTATTTATTGACTATGAAAAGACCTTTGATTGAGTAAAGTATCACAGATTAATTACAATATTAAAAGATAAAGGAGTTGATAGTCAAGACATACGATTCATAGAAAAGTTATACTGGCGTCAAACAGCGACAGCTTGCATAAACGGAAAATCAACCGAAATATGTAAAATACAAAGAGGTGTCAGACAGGGTTGTATACTATCCCCACTGTTATTTAATTTATATTCAGATATAATATTTAAAAGAAGCTGCATAATTTGGAATGGGGCGTGAAAGTTAATGCAATTCTGATAAATACAATCAGATATGCAGACGATACAGTTATTTTAAGTGATGACATGAATGGATTACAATGCCTTTTAAATGCCATTGATACAGTGGGAAGAGAGTTTGGCCTAAACATAAATTGTTCAAAAACAAAACACATGGTGTTTAGCCGTTTAGCACATCAAGATGCACGATTATATGTTGATGGTCATATAATTTAAAGAGTGTCCAGTTTTAAATATCTTGGTTGCCATATTACTGAACAACTAGATCCAGATCAAGAGATAAAATGTAGAATCGAGATAGCCCGCACGACATTTTTAAAAATGAGGTCATTTTCTGTAATGATAACTTGAAACTTCAACTTCGAAAGCGTATGGTTAAATGCTACATTTGGTCAGTCCTCTTATACGGTGTCGAAGCATGGACATTAAAAATGTCCACCATTAATCGTCTGGAGGCCTTTGAAATGTGGCTGCACAGACGTATACTAAAAATTCCATGGACGGATATGCTGACAAATGTGGCAGTCCTTGAGAGAGCAAATGCTGCTCGCGTGCTGCTTGATAACATCAAATGTAGAAAGATGGCCTATTTTGGATACGTAGTAAGGGGAGACCGATATAATATTCTTCAACTTATTATGATGGGTAAAACCGAAGGACGCAGAGGAATTGGTAGAAAGCAGGCCTCTTGGTTGAAGAATATCAGAGAGTGGACAGGAATAAAGAAAGCTGAGCAACTCTTTAGAATAGCTCGAGACAGAGACAGTTTCGCCATGTTAATCGCCAACGTCAAGGGGACTTGATAGGGCACGTTAAGAAGAAGAAGTCCTTCAGTAACGTTTTTTGTTTTACCTCGCCAGTCCTGTACGTTCCATATTGCAAAATTTATTGTCCTATTTCGTCGCCGTGGTTGTGTTCCATCCCGTATTTCCTCTAATCTGGGATTTATTGCTATAAAATTTGTTACCAAGTAATGTGTGGCAGGTCCAATGACTAAACCAACGTATTTTTCCAATATACCAAGTATTTTTCAAGACTTAAAAATGTCGTAAACTGCCCTTAACCATAGAAAAAGCCTTACAGGGTACTATCAACCGGAGGTTGTTACTCTACCCCCTCCTTTTTCATTTATTGTGGGATAATGCCCCAGGCTTCAGAGTGGGATTAAAAAGATAAGTTTGACACTTCAAATCAGTTCTATTGTCAATATATCTGTTAGTGATGGACCGATATGAACATCTTTTAATCTCGGATGCATTTTAGTAGCTATATTTATGTAATGTAACACATTTTAGATGATTATGAATTTATAATTTGATTTTTTCTTTTCAGAGGCTGACAACATGTTCTTCAATGGCAGTTCGTTATTGAAATATGATTTATATAGGGAACAGGTATCCGCCCTAAAGGAAAGCATAAAATTCAGGTTCAAAACTACCTCACCAAATGGCATTCTCTTATACAGTAGGGGTACTCAAGGAGATTATATAGCTTTACAAATTAGGGATAATAGGATGTTGTTGAATATCGATTTAGGTAATTTATTTTTCTACTTATATATTGGAATCAAATCTATAATGGAACCCGTAATTAATCTCTTACTTAGCATACATTACTATTATATTACATAACATTTCCAGAAATTTTTTCATTTACTCAGTTATTCCGGAACACATAGGTGTATTGGTATAAAATTTGTATGTTATTTTCACAAGTCTAAGACAGTCAGTTTGATTCCCAAAGAAAACTGAAAATATCGGGTCTTACTAAAAATACTTCTAGAAAAAGTATAGTACGCAACTGCCTTTATGTAATATCTCTATCTTCAGTCCCAGTTTCATGACTACTTCAGGAATATTATGGCAATACACCAGTGAGCCCTATTGAGAAAAATATTCCGCGTACTCTTTTTTTATGGATGCCTATACCACGAAAATGTGGTACCTGGAGTCAATAGATTTTTATCTTTTAGTCGTTTAGTAAACTAAGTCATTTAGTTCAGCTTGGATAAACTTTTGAGGTTGGTCTATCTCAGGATTTAATTCGTCTTCATAGGTTTTTTCGTCTTAACTTTCATCTGATGATTGCTATTAGATGGTGTGAAGAAAAGGTGGAGGAATAGGGATTCCTGGTCCATGAGATACAGGTCGTTCAGCAGAAGGTAAATAAGAATATTGAATTTTAATGTTTGTCCTCATCACCAAGCTTTACACCTAAGTAAGCGTGATAAGCCTTACTTAGGTGTAAACTCGATGTTACAAACTTCTTCTTTGAGTGCCTCTCCTATCGGAGATTGGATATCATTAGGGCGATTGTAATTTTATTTACTGCTGTTTTGAATAGTTCGTCATTGGTACAGCCAAACTACTCTCTTAAAATTTCTCATCCAGGACATTCTTCTACGGCCTTCTGCGTCCTTGGATTTTTCCTTGCATTATATTTTGTAGGAATGTGTACTTTTGTCCTCTCATCAGGTGGCCTAAGTATTCAAGTTTTCTCTTTTTTATAGTCAGTATAGCTTCTGGAGCTTCTTCTTGAGCTTCTTCAGCTTAAGAAGCTCAAGAAGAAGGATGCAAGAAGTTCAAGACAGAAATAGGTGGAAAATTTTACGGGAGGCCTACCTTCAGCAGTGGACAAACATAGGCTAATTGATGATGATAATGATAACTTCTGGATCGTTATTTATCTGCGTATTATCTCTTCATTTTTAATTTTATCCACCCAACTTGTTTTTAGTATAAGGCGGTAGCAGCACATCTCAAAAAGCTTTCAAGATTTTTAACATTCCTCTGTTTAAGAGGCCATGCCTCAACACCGTAAAGCAAAGTACTGCATACATAGCATTTTAACATTCTAATTCGTAGATGAATACTAATATCACGGTTACAAATTAATTTTTTCATTTTTATAAAGGTAGACCTGGCAATTTCAATACGTCTTTTTATCTCGAGAATTTGGTCACTTGTTTCATTGATGAGGGTTCCCAAGTATTTGTATTCGCTTACTTTTTCGAGTTGGGTACCGTTTATTGTGATACTATTAGTGTCATGTATTGGATTCTTACTGAAGGTCATATATTTGGTTTTTTTGACGTTCATCCTTATGCCGTAGTTATTACAAATCTCATTTATACTTTCACTAGATGCTGTAGATCTACCGCTGTTCTTGCCATTATCACAGTATCGTCAGCATATCGAATGTTATTGATAACTTCTCCATTGACTATTATCCCTTCGTTGGCATGTGAGAGAGCTTCTTGGCATATTTGTTCGCTGTAGATATTAAACAAGAGCGGTGACAATATACAACCCTGTCGTACTCCTCTACATATTTCTATTTCGTCCGATGTTTGGTCTTCTATTTTTATATTAGCTCGTTTATTCCAGTATCCATACTGGATTCCAGTATCTATACTGAAATCAACGATGTTACAAACAACTGACGCTAACTAACTCTATTTACGCAATACACAACTTCCGATGCCGTCAAGTTGACGGCATCGGCAGTGTTGCCATTCAAATAAAATTAACATAATGTATTAAAATATTTTCTTCTAAAGAAATAATTTTAATGCAATTTGCGAAATATCAATAAGGTACTTGTTTGCGCTAGTATATAATATCTCACAAGGTTTTTTCAATTTTGTGAACAATTTTGACGTGATGACAGGTGTTGCTTGCTATTGAAATAAAATAACATAATAATGTATTAAAATATTTTCTATCGTTCTATCAAGGATTATAAAGAAATAATTTTAATGCAATTTACGAAATATCAATAAGGTATTTGTTTGCGTTATTACATAAGTTCTCACAAGCTAAGGACACATGTCAAACTCAAAACACCAAAAATCATGTCCGCCTATATTTAATTTTTCTTTTATCGAAAAGAATGGATAATTTTAGAAATGCGAAATTGTCTGACATTCATTTTATGTATGGTCGAAGTAATGGAAATGGTCGACAAGCTCGACGATTTTATGTCAAGTTGGAAGATATTATCAAGGCAATTCCAAAGATTTCCAAACAATTTTTTTAATAAAATATATAAATTTCTAAAACATAACGACGGTATTAGATTTTTATTTCAATGCAGGGCGGCGGCAAGCCGCTAATACGTATTTCAACCTATTTAGGTCTCATCAGAGCGGCATATGCCACCGCTCTGAATCGAAACAAAATCTATCCCGTCGTAGGACAATAATTATCGAAATAATTATTTACAGACGTAACAACGCCATCTAAGAACAACAAGAGAAATCATAAGATTTTTACCTAGCGAAACTGAATTCCAATCTTTACCACTGTGCTTTCTACAATTTGCAAAACAAACAGCTTGATGAATTGGTCGGCAAGGGAATCTAAAATATGCATTCCACAAGCCGTTCATCATGGTCAACATTCGTAGTGAATTCAGTTTCTGGTACTCCAAACAGAGTAAAGAAATAAAACATAATGACGGTATTAGATTTTTAATTCGATGCAGGGCGGCGGCAAGCCGCTTATACGTATTTCAACCTCTTTAGGTCTCATCAATGATGAACGGCTTGTGGAATGCATATTCTAGCCTACATTTAGCCTTGCCGACCAATTCATCAAGCTGTTTGCTTGGCAAGTTCTAGAAAGCACAGTGGCAAAGATTTGAATTCAGTTTCACTAGGTAAGAAATCTTATGATTTCTCTTGTTGTTATTAGATGGCGTTGTTACTTCTGTAAATAATTTTTTCGATAATTAATGTCCTACGACTGGATAGATTTTGTCTCGATTCAAAGCGGTTTCCTCCTGTTCTAGTTATATATCATCTTTACCTGTTGTGGTAACTGTTCAGTCGAAAGCGGAATCTTGAATTCTTCCATTTACTTGTTGGTTAATATTATTAGGACTTCCCGTGGTTATGTAAAGAACTCAAGACCATAAATGAAACTGTTTAATACTTAAACTGTAAAATATACAGAAACTTAATTGTTTGTAATAATGAAATAAAAATAAATGTTACAAATATATTTTTAATACATGTTGCTAGTTCGATGTCTTATAACAGAATGTGTTTGCCGGAGGAGGGTTAATTTTTAGTAGCCAGATGTCTTTTCGTTAAGCCGTAGCGATACTTCTTATCTTACCTTCTCTATTAAGTAGCGTACTACAGTATTCCTGTCACTTTTTCAGTACTTCTACTGTGTCGTTTAAAAGAATTTCATTATGAGTCTTGACTTGTTTTGCCTGTAGCTTGAAAAGTTTTCTTTTTGTGGTAACTTGTTTGTAAAATTTTCTGTGTTCGTGTTCTCTATTTAATTTTTTCATTTCTTCGAAGTCTTAATTGATTTGCTACCGCATTTTCTGTCTGTGCTTTTGTTTTCCCTTTCTTCTCTTTATTCGATATTCTTCAACCTTATTTCTAGTCCTTCTATTGATCATTTTCAGATACGCGTCATTTTTCTCTTTAGTTATTCGTTTGCATTCTTCATCAAACCAGTTGTTTCGCTGCCCTTTGGGTACCTAACCCAACACTTCATCTGCGGTCCTTCGAAGCATGGTTTTTATAAACTCACAGTTTGTGTTAAATTTAGTGGGATTTACTTCACTTCTGGGATCTTATGTTAGTTTACAATCTAATCTTCAAAACATTTGAGTGCTTGTTTCGTGTGTTATAAAATACACCTCTTGTTATATACATTTTTCTTGAGATAAAAGTGAACTGTTGATCCGTACGTTTGGCGATGGATTCCAATATAGATTTTGAATAATCTGGAGATCCTTTGTATTAAATACAGTGTTCTTAAGTGTGTTCACAATTGTTTGAGATTTTATGCTTAAGTTTTAAGGCATATTTTCGTAGATTACACAATTTTGAGGGATCAATTGTATAGTTACAGTATATGGCTTCTCTAGTACACTTCTTCGCATTTTTTTTGTATATTCTTGAATAAAAAAATTGTATGAATATTATTAAGGCATGCCTCATTAGGCTGCATTAATAACAACTATACGCGTTGACCTTTAAAATTATAAATGTAGATGTAAGCCATTCAAATAGTATTTCTGATCTATCACATATTTTGTTAAATAACTAATATAGATGTTGGGGTTTTAATAATTTGAAGACCTTAACATGAATATTTTCTTCCCCTGGCGCCTTTCAGTTTTTTTATTTAATATTTAAGGACATTCTCCATTTCCAATACAAGTGTAGATGAAGAGACCATACAAATTTAATTATTGTTGGTATAATTAACAATATAAAATTTTTATGTTGTTTTATGATATGTTTAAGAACAAGAAGTAAGATAATCAATTATAATAAAATTCCTCAGAGACCAACGTGCTGCCATCTAGGTGAAAATAAAATCCTTTTGTTGGATTCAATACGTATAAGTGGCCGTCCTGCATCGAAATAAAAATCTAATAACCTCATTATGTTTTATTTCTTTACTCTGTTTGGAGTACCAGAAACTGAATTCACTAGAAATTTTGACCATGATGAACGGTTTGTGGAATGCATATTTTAGATTCCCTTGCCGACCAATTCATCAAGCTGTTTGCTTTGCCAGTTGTAGAAAGAACAGTGGTAAAGATTTGAATTCAGTTTCGCTAGGTAAGAATTCTCTTCTGTTTTTATATAAATTTCTGTTTTGTTTTTTAAAGGTTCCGGTACCGTTACAGGCCTTTCCGTGGGAAGTTTATTGGACGATAATATTTGGCACGACGTTGTGATATCGAGAAATAGAAGGGATATTTTATTCTCAGTAGATAGAGTGGTTGTGACTGAAAAAATAAAAGGAGAATTCCAGAGACTAAATTTAAATAGAGGAGTAAGTGTTGTTGGTGGCACCAAAGACGGTTTTCTGTATCTTGTTTGTTGTAGTTTTATGTAGGAGGTGTTCCGAATGTTCAAGAAGGATTGGTTGTTGTACAAAACTTTACGGGATGCATGGAAAATATGTATCTTAATTCAACGAATCTTTTTAAGGAAGTTAAAGCAGCTTACAGTTACGGAGAGAGTTTCAAATTTGAAAAATTCAACGTCCTTTATAACTGCCCGGTATGTATTGAATTTTTATAGTCCCTGCTGCAATATACATAATATGTTCTATGTTTTTAACGTTTATATTTTTAGGAACCACAAATTGTTCCAGTTACTTTTAAGACTCAGCATTCCTTTGCGAAGTTGAAGGGATATGAAGGAAGTACAACCATGAATTCCTCTTTCGCCTTTAGAACTTACGAAGATAACGGCCTTATGCTTTATCATGCATTTTCAACGAGCGGTTATGTTGCTGTGAGTATAAGACAATAAATATTTTATTGACATGAACATTTTCATTTCGAATGTTTTAAATTAACGTCATTAAACAATTTTTATAGATATATTTAGAAGCTGGCAAACTGAAAGTGGAGTTAGTGTCTCCCAACAACCCAAAAGTGGCCTTTGACAACTATGAAGAGCAATTTAACGACGGAAGATGGCATACAGTTGTCCTTACGATATCAACCAACAAAATTGTCTTCAGTGTCGATTATAGGCCAATGGTGACAACGCGTGTGTTGAAGATTGTGACGGGTAGCATATATTTCATCGCTGGTGGAGTTAGTGCTGCTTTAGGATATACCAATACTATCTTCCCTGGATTTGTTGGATGTATGAGGAATATACGGATCGATGGTAAGCTTAATTAGTGTATTTTAGTGTGTTCGTTTAATAGTTTTTTATAACCAAAAAGACTTTCGAAAGTAGTACCGATTTTAAAAGTTTGATTTACACCTTAATATATAACGTGTTATGGTATTTAATTCCAAAATGTTCAAGGTCTCAATAATAATGTAAGAATATTCGGCAGTTATAACAATAAAACAGTTTTTATTCCTAAACTACATAGAAACGACTATTCTAGAAGTTTCCTACTTTTTATGAGATGGTTTTTAACGGAGACTTTTAATAACGGTTTAACTTCCGATTCCGAAGATGATGACTTCCCAATGACAATATTTCTCTAAAATAGGCAACTTATTTCAATCTATAAATTTTCATAATACACTTTGAATAATTTTAAAATGAATATGCTTTATTTACTTCTTTATTACTGTATTTTGCAGGTAACAGCAAATTGCCTACAGATTGGACTCAAGAAGAATATTGCTGCGGCGAGGAAGTAGTGTTCGACTCGTGTCGTATGACAGATAGATGCAATCCAAATCCTTGTCAACATGGAGGTGTTTGTAAACAAAATTCAGTGGAATTTTTCTGTCGTTGTAAGGTTAGTGAGACTATGTTACCTACAAAATTTCTTAGATTCTTATTTTTTCAGTCCGAATAACTAATTATTACTAGAAACGGGAGTTCGTAATGCGTCCAGAAATGTTGACTTTGTAATTTATTTTTGATATATAGTTGTGGCATCGGTCCTTTTTATTTTATTTCTTCTAATCAGAATATTAATCAGAGGGTGGCAGGTAGCACTCTTCTACAATCCCAGTAGAAGACAGGCTGGGCTACAGGGACTAGTGACCCTGTCTTATGCTAGCTTCTGGTTCTCCCTCCTTCCTTCCGACTGAGGGGGCCAGGTTCTCATACCTTTTTCCTATCTCTCCCTTTTAAAACTCCCACCTTAATCCTACCCTCTACCAACTCGCACTGGCCAGCGCGGTAGAGTATGGCTAAAATGCATGCTTGACACGACAAAAACACGGCCCTCAGTCCCCGGCAGTGAGCTGATCCTTGGTCGAGGTAGCGATCAAGAAAGACAGCAAACAAAGGGTGCGAAAAATCCCCGGTCAGATCAGGCTACCACGGACGACGACAAATGTATATCGCCACGTACAAATGTAATAACACTGTCATCTGAAGAAAAATTACTGGAATTAGAAGAGTTAAAACACATAAAATGGGACGTTATGGGTCTCTGTGAAGTAAGACGTGAAGAAGAAGACTGCATAACTCTTAAATCAGAGCAGAATTATATAGAGAAAGGGGTAAGAAAGAAGGCACCAAGTTGAGAAAAGTCCAGAATGTGGGTTCAGAGGATATCCCAGAAATAACAATCGAAGAAGTCTCAAAGTCATTAAATCGAATGAAAAACAATAAAGAGGCTGGTGATGACCAAATCGTTATTGAGGAAATTAAAGCAGGAGGAAAGACAGTATTGAAAACATTGACACAATTATATAACTTATGCATTTCAAAAGAGATTACACCATCTCAGTGGAATAAAGCTGTTATAGTAGTCATGCATAAAAAGGGAGATATAACAGAGCTAAAGAACTATAGACCTATTAGCTTGTTATCTCACGTTTACAAGTTGTTTATGAAGATAATAACTAATAGGTTGACATCAAAACTAGACTTCTATCAACCTTGCGAACAAGAAGGATTTAGAGCTGGGTAGGGAACAAATGATCATTTGCAAACTATTAAGTCGTTAATTGAAAAAAACATTGAATATAATAGACCCCTGATACTTGTATTCGTCGACATTGAAAAAGCATTTGATACGGTCAATCAAAGTGAAATGCTCCAAGCTCTAACACAATGTAGAATAGATCACCGATACATATCCCTCATCAGATACATCTATCAGCATGCTACAGCCTGTGTAAGACTTAACGAAGATACTGGTACCTTTCGTATTGAAAAAGCCGTTCGGCAAGGAGACAACATGTCTTCTAAATTATTTACAACTTTGCTAGAATACGCTTGTAAAACAATAGATTGGAACGAAAAGGGCATCAATGTAGATGGAAAATTTTTAAATAACCTTAAATTTGCAGATGATAACGTTCTTATTGCAGACAGCTTTGATTAGGCACAGATAATGCTCCAAGAACTCCATACTGCTACAAAAAGATTTGGTCTTAAAATAAATTTTTCAAAAACAGAATTGATGACAAATTTAGTCCACAACAAAAACATCTTTTGTGAAATTCAGACCGCTCCTATGTAATCAACACCTAAACTTCGAAATACGCTACAGAATGGTCAAGTGCTACATATGGTCCATCTTGCTTTATGGCATGGAAACGTGGACTTTGAAAAAAACATCCATCAACAAACTTGAAGCATTTGAAATGTGGTCATTGAGAAGAATGATGCGCATACCTTGGGTGGATAGAGTTCGAAACGATGACGTCCTTAATAGAGCCGGCGTGGAAAGAGAACTCTTTGAATTAATTAAAAAACGCAAGATTGGTTACCTTGGGCACATATTGAGAGGAGCAAAATATGAAATACCACAGTTAATCCTACAAGGGAAGATCGAAGGTAGGAGAGGAGCCGGCCGCAAACAATTGTCCTGGTTAAGGAATATTAAAGAATGGACAGGAATACACAATACAGGTGAGCTGTGTCACGCCGCCAAGAACAGAATTCTAGTAATGAGATAGTCGCCTACGCACTTTGGTGTATGGCATGTTAAGAAGAAGAAAAACATCTCAGTAGAAGACAAAGATATTGAGCCAGTTGACTCCTATAAACACTTGGGCCATGAGATCAGAATAAGTCGAGAAAACCAAACAATCGAGCTGAAAAGAAGAATAAACCTCGCTTGGGCTGCATTTGGAAATATGAAGGATATTTTTAGGTCTAAGATTCCAATGTGTCTGAAAAGAAAAGTATTTAATCAGTGTATTTTGCCAGTGATGACCTACGGCGCAGAAACCCTAACACTTACAAGAACAACAGTGAGTAAACTTCAAGTTGCGGAAAGGGCAATGGAGAGAATAATGTTAGGGATTTCTCCCTAAAGAATTTCCTTAACAACCATCTGAATATCCGCACACTTATTTGCTGGTAAACTTACTGAAATAAGCAAATTAAAAGAAATCCAATGTACGAATTGGGCAAACAAGGTTAACACATGGTTATTTGAATGTCAAAGCTTATTGTCACATATTCTTTGAAACAGGTCTTTTGCGAGACATTCTATCGTATGGGCTATCCGGCTACTAAAAAGCTTTGATAATATTTGTTTATTTTAGGGTACTGGCTATGGAGGAGCAGTGTGTCACAGTTCCATTAATTCACTTTCTTGTGTGGCGTACAAAAATGTGCAGGCGGTGGGCCAACGCGCAGAAATTAAGATTGACGTCGACGGTAGCGGACCTCTAGCTCCTTTCCCGGTAACGTGCGAGTTCTATGCTGACGGCCGTGTAGGAACTGTATTGCATCACAGTAACCAAGAAACCACTTCGGTGGATGGATTCCAGGTAATGAATATAATTAATATACCTCTATAGAATTATAAAAGTCATGATTTTGACAGATGGTAAAGTACTGTCAACAAAAAAAGATAAAGTCTACTTTGGGGGTTATTAACATTAAATGTAGTTTGTTGAATATATTTTAAACGAGTGTATGCCAATTTGTAGAACATAATATTCAGAGGTGAGACTCATTTTCGTCTTAATGGCTTTGTTATCCCATTAACGTTCAGACTTTTTTCAAAGAATTTTTTCTGACTGATGTAAAGAATCTTATCTTTACATCAGTCAGAATACTATTAGTAGGGGAGCCCACGATGCTAAATCGGGATTTACTCGAGCGTCATAGAGACCTATTGGATTGCGAAGCTTAGATGATAAAAAGAAAAAAATCTTATATAATATATACCTTTTCATCGGTGGGGGCAGCCGCTATAGATTTTCAAAAATGTAAAAAAAAACTGTTGCATGGACATACTCGAGCGCGTCAGATATTGATATCATCCATGTCCTACGTATTTTTAAGAATGTATGTATGTTAATCTGATCGTTTCCATGATGGGGGTGGTCGTACGGGGGGTGGTCTTTTTTTTTTAATATTTACTACATAAAGTCATACTAAAACTCACTCATCTGTTGATGTACCAACAGCCTCAGTAGATGTGGAATCAACAGTAGCATATGATTTGGAGCACTCTCCAGAAACAGGAACTTGTGACTCAGAACACTCTCCAGGAACAGAAAGATGTGACTTGGAGCACTCTCCAGAAACAGGAGCATGTGATTCTGAGCTATTCCTCTGAACTTCTGATGCATTATCATATTCCACTACACTTTGCTGTTGTTGCTGTTGTAAATACTGAAAGTCTGGTGGTATTTTTATTGCAGTAAATAATTTGTAGCACTGTGCGTGATAGACTTCATGTAATGAAGATTCTTTCGAAAGTTCAAGATTATCGTATCTTGTTCGGGATTTTCTGAAAACCGGTTTGCTTCGACGATATTCTAAAATATTTATACATTTTTGTAATGTGTCTAATGTAAATTTAATTGTTTTTTGCAAAGTAGCTTCACCACAAAATACACACTTTATATTATTATCACTCATAGTAAATATTTATAAACTTAAATTCACCTTACTTATGTTAAAATCACAAAATGAGCAAAAACGTTGGAAATACGTTGTAAACAATATCATGCCACAAACGCGTTTGTGTGATCAGCTGTCATGGCGTCATGGCAACAGAAACCAGAGTGGGGACGGTATGAGAGATAGAGAAAGAGTGAGAGAGGAATAGAAACGCGGAGAGGGGAATATAGGCATCACGTAGCTGCACGTATTAAACTTTATCGATGAATTTTTATTACTTCGGCTTGTGGAAATCGTTAGATTATATATTTTTTGTAATTCTTCAATTATTCCCTTCAAAATAAAAAAAAAATTTAGCCACGCTCGAGAATGTCGAGATGACGTTTTTTTTTACAACTTTGTCGCCCTCCCCCTTCTTTGCGTCACTCTTAAATTGTCAGATTAGTGGAATATACACTCTTTAGCATGTAACTAACTCACCCTACCTTAATCTGACGCGCTCGAGAATTTCAGATGATCAATTTTTTTTTACTAATCTGATCCTTTATCCTTGACGGGCGGCCATATATATGGGGTTCATATTTGGTGGAAGTACTTAACTGGGTACAAGGATTCTCTCTGTATAATAATCTGCCGCGCTTTAGTAAATCCCGAAATCCCCGCTTGGGCTCCCCTACTATATATTGCATAGAGTGAGTTTTAAGTATGTAATTCCTCAACTACCTCGGAAACGACTTGTCTAATGTCAAGGTATATAATCTATAAATTTTGGTTGGTGAGGGTTCTGTAGTCCGGCCCATCTTATGGAAGTATTTACATTGTTGTCAGATTTTTCTATTTTTCTGGAAGTATAATTAACTTTGTTATTTCAAATAGATTTGAGCCATAAAATTGAAATATAGTTAAGTTTAAGTAGTACTGCCAACAAAAAAAGATATCAGAATACTATATTGCATAGAGTGAGTTTTAAGTATGTAATTCCTCAACTACCTCGGAAACGGCTTGTCTAATGTCAAGGTACATAATCTATACATTTTGGTTGGTGAGGGTTCTGTAATCCGGCCCATCTTATGGAAGTATTTACATTGTTGTCAGATTTTTCTGGAAGTATAATTAACTTTGTTATTTCAAATAGATTTGAGCCATAAAATTTGAGATACAGTTAAGTTTCTAATACAAGTTCATCATGGAAAGGAACCACCAGATATTTAAACAAAAAATCACCATCCTAAACAAAAAGGGGGAGTAAAAAAATATTAACGAATCGCGCTTGTCCAATATAGGGGTCTGATATTTGGGAGAAGAATTGGAATATCTAGAAAAAGTGTTTAAACAGAATTATTGTGCTCCATGAGACATCAAGCGATCTATACCTCCAAAAAAAACCAACTATAATATCGACTAACAATTGTTACTAAAAGGTATAGATAGCTTCCTTACTGTATTCGTAAAATGGCAAGTATCAAATCGACATAATCTTAAGACATCGTACTAAACATCAAACAAAAATGATACAAGAAAGTTGTAAGACCGACAAATGATCCAAGGAAACCGTTATCCACTCCAAGAATTTACTGCGTTCTTTGTTGTAGTTCCGTGTGTATTTGAACAACAAAACGTGTAAATGCCAGGTTGAATGAACTCAAGAGGAACTGATACCTTGGTTACTTCAGAAAGTCAGTCATAGCAGAACTGTCATACAAAATAACAACCGAATGTTGTACGTAGAAACACAGATGTTTAATAATACTACTATCCACGGATGTTTAGGGAGGCCATCGAAATTCAAAAACGCTTGAGTCTACATACAGTATTGGAAGATTCAAAACGGAACATACGAATTATTAATACAATTATTAAGATCCCCTGACCTGCAATTTACCCAGTGTAAATTTCAATATAACGTCGCGATGTCTTATAATTAATTCATTTGTTCGACTGGATTGCTACTCCTTGGCGATTTCTACTAGCGTATTCGACAGGTGTACGTCGACACTGTTGTCTATCGTCCACTGATTTTCTGTGTTTTTGTGCAGATAATAACAATGTTTTATTAATAACAATTTTTTGTGTTCATTAGATATTATTTGAATTGGTTAGTGTATAGTTTAATATATTTATTATTCCAAATATTGTTGATAATTTAAATTTTAAAACGATGTATATGATACATCAAAATCTACAGATTTTTGCCGAAGGTATCTATCGATTTGGCAACAGTCCCAAGGAACATCATCACTGGCCGAGCAAAACAAATACATGCCCTTTGCTTTATAACGCCATAAGCTGAAATAAAAGTAGTGTTTCTAACCATAAACCATGTATACAAACAAAGAAAAAGTACAAATTTTAAAATGGTATTATGGGGGCAACTCGTACCGTGATATTATAAATTTATTTACTTGTGCGTATGAAGATAGGCCAATACCGACACAATCAACTATTAGTCGTATTATTAAGGTGCGCACGTGCGCAGCAGTCGAAAAATATCGACTGGAGAAGGAGTCCAGTCGAACAAATGAATTAATTATAAGACATCGCGACATTATATTGAAATTTACACTGGGTAATTGCAGGTCAGGGGATCTTAATAATTGTATTAATAATTCCTATGTTCCGTTTTGAATCTTCCAACACTGTATAGCGTAGATGATACGACGGCTACTTATAGCTCAAATACTCGATAAAGATCCTGAGTCATTGATAAGAAAAATGAGAGATTAGAGCAGATGCATGATACAGAGGAAAAGCGTTGCCTGAGCGATGCCTCAGACACTTTCTGGGGAGTATGTTCTCGAATGCACTGCCGTGTCGTACATCATTTGTAAACACAAAAAACAAAAAAAAACCACGAAGTCACGTCTTCGTTCACTCCCACATCACCTTTGATAATGTTCGCATTCGAAATATCACCAATCCTGTGCCACTTTGTACTAGATGACCCAATTGAAAGCTCTATTAGCCGGTTGTACAAAAAGGGTGTACATATGTGAAATTATGAGTATAATTTCAGTGTATGAGGACTGTAATACATAGGGCTGGTGCAAATAAATTAGGATATGTAGTAAAGGGTTATACAGACAATAGCAAATTAAGTTTATACAAAGTCTTACCAATAATGCTGCTCCACAGACTAGCGGTATTGACCGGCTGTCACCCGCGGTTATTCTTCATACGCGGAATCTGTCCGGGCACCGTGTTCTGAACACTTGGACCACGAGATAGAGCACATTTTGCGTCTGTACACGATTTAAAATAGTATTTGCGGTATTTTTCGCGTAACTAAAAGCGCGAGAAAAATAATTAGTTAGCGGCAGTCAACAGTAGAGAGAGTGTCTCTTCAGCAATAGATAACAGCCAAGAGAGCGACTGTTCTTCTATATAAGCAAATGGTAAGAGAGAGCACGTCTGCCTAGCGATACTCAGCAGACGGAAGAGAGAACGACTGTCCTTAGCGACAGTCAACAATCAAGAGAGTGTCTTCTTCTTTGCTATTTTAAAACTGTCTATATTTCTAAAGGAGAAGAGGTTGAACTGGAATAGGAAGGGTTATCAATGGTTGGACTAAGGTAATGATTGTAAAATTGTGGTAGAAGGATAGTTAGTAATACAGCAAAAAAATTACATTATTTTTCGCATGTGAAAAAATTGAACACCGCTTACCGTTTAGTAACTCATTTTTAAAGAGATACATGGATGATCTAATTCTTGCACTCCCAAAACACAAAATAGAAGATCATGGACACACTACACATTTTTTACAATCATTGCCAAGATTTATAATTTACAGTGGAATTAGAAACAGAATTAGAATTAGAAGAACAATTGCATACCTTTTCTTGAAGTGATGGCGCACCGTGATGCAAACAATGTCCTAAAAAGAGAATGGTAAGGAAATTCCATGTATAGTAACAGGTTTATTAGTTACTTTTCAGTACTATGAAGACCAACTATTTATTTACGATGAAGACCAACTTAATATTAATATGAAAAAGTAGAGTTATAACCTTGTCACATTCTGATAATAGAACATCTAGTCTCACAAAATTAAAAACGATCATATTGGAGAATTCATTCCCAGCGATCCTTCTGAACAGACTTATTTTTGCTGTCTTAAAAGTTAAAACGACAGAGTAAAACAGATTAATTACTATTTATAACTGGGAATAAGCCACAATTAAAGATAAAAATATAAAAATATAAAAGATAAAATGCAACTGTAATAATGGATAAAATTCAATACGAAAATAAAATTAAAGATCTATTAATAAACGGACCTTATACAAAATTAACAAAAGATCCAACAAAGCCTTTGGAAAACAAAATATATAGAACTTTATTCAAGTTTAAAGATGTTTTAACAAGTTATCAGAGAGGATTAATTACACCTCATTACAGTAAGACTCCTCATTTTTATGGAGTACCGAAAATTCATAAAACGAATATACCACTTAGACCCATTTGTAGTACCATGAATTCTCCTTGTAGTGAACTATCAAAATTTTTATTAAATATTTTAAAACCTTATACAAATAAAAATGACACATTCATAAAAAATACACAACATTTTTTAAATAAATTATCAAATATTGAATTTAATTCAAATAATACTTTGGTAAGTTTTGACATAAATAGTTTATTTACGAATGTGCCATTAAATAAGACTTTAAGTATAGTCAAGACAAAATTAGAGAGTGATGATTCATTGGCAACTAGAACAAGACTAAACATATCGGCTATAATGGAGTTATTAACATTATGTACTGATAATACATATTTTCAACTAAATAATGCATTCTATAAACAAAATTTTGGTCTAGCAATGGGCTCTAGTTTATCTCCATTCTTAGCCGATATATTTATGGAAGATTTTGAAACAAATATCATTTCTAAACAAAATTTCAAACCCATAGTATGGTGGAGGTATGTAGATGTTGTATTCTCAATATGGCCTCATGGATCAGAGTTGTTGGACACATTCCTAAACGATATAAACGATAAAGAAGATACAATAACATTTACCATGGAAAAGGAATATAATAACACGCTACCTTTCCTGGATGTTTTAATCTCTAAGAACGATACTGGATATGAGACTCAGGTGTATAGAAAACCAACACACACCAATAGATATTTAAATTTCAAATCAAATCACAATATTAATGTAAAAAAGGGAATAATTAAATCCTTATACGATAGAGCCAAAATTACTTGTTCTAACGAAAATTCGTTCTTGGAGGAGAAACATTTGTTAACATCTGTTTTATTAAAAAATGATTATCCTTTATCGTTTATAAATAAGGAATTTTTAACAATCGATCGAATAGAACAGAACAACTTAAAACGAAATCCTACAGCATACACAAGGAATAATATGAGGAAAATAACAATACCGTACATAAAAGGATTATCAGAAAAACTTAAAAGGATAGGAAACAAATTCAACATTTCAACAACATTCAAAACAACAAACACGTTGAGATCTATTTTGTCCAAAACCAAACCTAACAATGAACAGGAAAGGACAAAGAATTGCATTTATAAAATACCTTGTGAATGCGATCAGTTTTATTTAGGTGAATCATCAAGGCCATTAAATGTTAGAATAAGTGAACATCAATCTTATATTAAAAATAGAGAATTTGATAGATCTCAAATATGTAAACACGCATGGGATAATGAACATAGGGTTCAATGGAATAATTCAAATATAGTCCTAAAAGAAACGGATGGTAAAAAAAGAAAAATCAAAGAAGCTGCTCTAATTATGATAAATGAGGCCAATTGTGTCGCAAATTCCTCGGCAGAATGTAGTAGGATCTGGTTACCAATATTGAAAGAGGAAGTTATTAATAAGAAAATACCAGTATTAGTAAGTCAGTAACATATAGAGGATACATCATTTATGTTTTTTAAATAACGTAACATATAAAATCAGAATTTTGATGTTTGTTGAAGGTAAACTAAATTCACGAACAAATACTTACAATGTCGGGATAGTATTATGGTTTTTTTCCTGGTTTTTCCCTCATAATTTACTATGGAATCACTAACAGGAGAATTTTACTGTCATCATGTCATGTGTTTGTCTTTTTAAAGACGAATTACATGCTATGATTTTTTCTGACGGATATTCTCAAGTTAAAGTTGATTTCATGTAATCGAATGAACTATCTTATAAGTAAAGTCGTCTACTTTAAAATGCATAATGTATGTCTGAATTGTCAATATAAATGAGTCAGATAAAATTAAATTATTAGAAGAATTTTTTCACTATGTAACAAAAAACAAAATTTGTTTAATTTACTGTTTGTATTTTGAGAACGATTTCCGAATTGGAAATTGAAACGTCAATAAACGTATTTTTATCTTTAATTGTGGCTTATTCCCAGTTATAAATAGTAATTAATTTACAATGCCACAAGAAAAATAGCTTTAGAACAATATTAAGTAAAACAGATGTCACAACAAACAACCAACGAACGAAGTACCACTCTATACTATATATTCCGGGATTAACAAATAGGCTTTTAAATACATTTAGAGAAGTACCGAATACCAAAATTCTCCTTCTTCATTTTATATACACATGACTCTGTGTGTTTTTAATGTGCCTCCAGTAAGATATTGTTTTTAACATCCTTTTTGTCTTTTGCACAGGAGTTGCAACTATGATTAAGTAAAAATATTTGCAGCTGAAAGAAACCACAACAAAAGACTGTTTTTAGAAATGTGTTTAATTATAACTATACAGAACACCTTGAACAAATGAGTGGACACTCAGAATTTAAGTACTATATTGAGTAGTAAGCCTTCTTTGAACAAGAATTACACCAAGCTCTCTGAAACAAAAAGATAATGATTCGGTTGCAGTTCTGTAAAGCTCTTCCGGGCAAGAACGCCAACAATTAAAATGACCATAACGATGTCTAACATGAATATCAGAAATAGCACTTAAAGAAGAAAAATAGTCAAATTCAAAGAATTTGCTATTATCAACATTGATCTATCATGATATCTGCAGCTAAACACTAATGTAGTAATATCTGTTTCAGGAACCTGGAAGTTTTATACAAGATATTCACTACGATGCTGACGACGACCAGATAGCTGCATTGATCAACAGAAGCAGTACTTGTAGGCAACACATACAGTATGCGTGCAAGGTAAGTAACATTTCAGTCGATGTTATCAATGTCAAAAACAATGTTTAATAACTTAGTCTAATGAAATTACATGTGTCTTTCCGTAGGGTGCGCGTTTGATGAATTCACCGTCACAGGAAAATGAGTTCATTCCTTTCTCCTGGTGGGTGTCGAGACACAATCAAAAGATGGATTATTGGGGAGGGGCTTTAGCAGGTTCAAGAAAATGTGAGTGTGGAATTTTAAGCACTTGTACGGATTCCACAAAATGGTGTAACTGTGATGGTGTTCAGAATGCCGATATTTGGCAAGTGGATGCAGGTTAGTAGTAACATGTTAGATAAAACTCCAAATGAAAAGAAACTTTCGAATTGTTATTTATGAGTTACTTTTATACACAAGACGGCGCAATTAAATAACGAAAAATAATAAAGCAAACTACAGTAAAATCTTACCAATCGCCACTCTCGGGGAATCAAAAGCTGGTGGCTAAAGAGAAGTGTTCGTTTAAGAGAGAACATAAGAAAGTCAAAACAACTAATCTGCATTTTACGTTGTTTATTTACACATTAAATATATTTATAATTTTAATTTATCAAAAACATGAATGAGTACAATCACATCAAGTTAAGAATAGGTTGCATACTTTTTTTGGACACACTGTATAGTAAATGTTTTATTTTTTCAAATAATCGGAATTAATTATCTCATTATCATATAATTATTATTTCAGACTTTTTAATTTATTTTAAAAAAATTCGGATTCACGTTTTATAAATATTTGTGGATATATTATTCTCATTAAATTTTCTAAATCTGAGACTTCAGATAGGTTTGTTATATTCGACACTGAAAAAAATTTAGGTTCTTGTTTCTCAGGTTCAGGCTTAGGGATGGTTTCATTTATTTCTTGTATTTCTTTAATACATTAGTTAATGCTCAATTCTCCACTTTCTGTTGGTTCATCACTATTAATAAAGGCGCATTGTTCTAAATCTACTAATGTGTCTTTGATGAGAAACAGTTGTGCGAGTGAAATAGTATCCTCTTCTTCAGAACCATTCGCATCTATATTTCAAAGAAATCCGGATGTAGTAAAGCATTTTTTTAAAGTCATTGGCGACAAAGTTCGTCAAACCACTATAACCCATATCAAGGCGTTATTTATGGTAATGTTTTTCTTTATTTCTTAAAAAGGACAACCCCTCTCGATACAACTTGAAACCTCTCAAAGTAGATTCTATCGAGTTATCCAGACACAATACCATTTTGCTGTTCTGATTTTTCGTCTTCGTGTCAAATTTGTGATGCCATGTCGTTCTAATGTCTGCTGTCATTGATGCCTTTTTGTTGGAGACCCATTCAAAAGGCAAATTTTATTTATGTGTGCCCCTTTAAAACATCGAGGATTTTTGCTTTTATCTATGATAAGCGATTCCTCCTTTCACCTTCCATATTTGCACTTTTTGTCATTTTTCAATGCATATTTTCTGGTTGGCTACGCACGATAGTAGAGCCCGGTCTCATCTGCTTTAAATGCACATTTTGGGGCATAATCCGTTAAAATAGCAAACAGCTTTTTTTATTTAATTAATGGCCTTGGATAGCTTTATTCATTCAGCCACGATAATGTATTTGGCTACTCGAATTTGCTGATGATGTATTGACCTATTGCATTTGTTAACAAAATGGTACTTCGCCTAGAGGTAAATTAAAAATATATTGTAAACATTAGTATTACAAGACTCAATAGACTGACAAGAAACCGCAATTTCGTTCGTTACATTCAGTTCCCTACCCAACTTAAAGTGAATATTTAGTACCAACAAGGGATGCATAATGTAGGGATACTTGTCACACGAAAAGATGAAGGTGCCTTTCATAGCGACTTTATTACAACACAAGAAGCAAAGCAACGGCTAGGAGATAAATATATAACATAAGGATAAACAGAGGGAACAAAGCTAGATTTATACATTCACATTACAAGCAGCTATTGTTTCTAAGATTTCACGTTGTCAACAATAAATCCACATTAACATGTGGATTTGTCACTATTTGCCAACATTTGCTTGAATTATAGGCCCAGATATAGGTAAAATCAAATGTTTCGAATCTTGCAAAACCAATTAAATAGAGCTTACTCCAGTGCAAATCCATCGGTTTTAGAAAATTTTCTTTTTTGGTCAGCGTTACCATCTTGAAACAAGTTTCTGACCTCTTCGTTATTTTGTAGCAAATATGGTCACTTACCAAAAAAAACAAAAACAATGATTGTCTCCAAAACATCCATCCATCCACCCATGGCTTTAAACGTGAATGGTAACATTATCGAAAATGTCGAGAAATTTCGATATCTAGGGTGCTGGATAACGAAAGATATAGATCCAGACATAGAAATAAAATCGCGAATTGAACAAGCAAGAAATGTCTTTTTAAAAATGAAACAAATGTTTACGTCCCAAACACTCAATCTCAAAATCCGATACCGAATGCTGAAATGTTACGTTTACAGCACCTTACTATATGGAATGGAGGCCTGGACCTTTAAAATCAACTCACTAAGGCGTTTGGAAAGTTTTGAAATGTGGTTATTTCGAAGGATGCTGAAAGTCCCCTGGACAGCGCATATGAGCAACGAGCAGGTCCTACACAAGATGGGTACCGACAGAGAACTCTTAAAAATAATGAAAACACGGAAAACCTCATATTTGGGACACATATACAGAAATGATAAATACCAGCTACTGCAGCTTCTTATAGAGGGGAAGGTAGAAGGAAGACGTGGTCCTGGTAGACGGCAGGCGTCCTGGTTGAAGAACATTCGTGAGTGGACTGGTTTGGATTCTCAATCTTTAATAAGAAAAGCCAGGGACAGAAATGATTTTGCTGAGGTTATCGCCAACCTTCATTGAAGACGGCACCCAAAGAAGAAGAAGATGGTCACTTAAGTCTTGCTTATTACTTAAAATTTTTCTGATAACTTCCTGCTACTTACTTGTGTCACTTTTTTCACTATCGTCAATTATATACATTTTTTCTTTGATCTTCTTCTTCTTGCGCCTTGCTTGATTAGTGTGCGTTGGCTATCAAATTGGCTATACTAATTTTGTTGACGGCAGCTCGAAAAAGCGATGCAAAGTCATGACGTGCGTCTTTTCTTTGATAGAGAGGCGTTTCTTTTTTCGTGTCATACTTTTTAGTTGCAAAACAACAATAATACCATAGTAAAAAAAATGTCGACTATTATTCGCAAAGCAGAAAAAATCAATAAGCAATAGGCAACACTAGTTAGCTCATAAAAGTTTCAAATTGAACTTAATGTTAAAACCCGATCTTAAAAATTTGAGAAGTCAATTTTAAGGATCCGCTTATCATTAAGGAATATATATCCTATTTATATTTCTTAAGAATGGTCTAATTTAATGGCCCTTTATAGAGGGTGTTTTTATCATTGATGAATACTAGAACTTTCGATGGTGGGTACCTGTGGTCGTTTAAGAGAATGGTAGGTATAAAGAGGTATCTCCATTTCTAATCACCGGGTATTTAATTGTACGTGTACGAATATCCCAGCAATCTAATCACAATTCGGTATTTTTTTCATAGGTTTTTTCCTTATTAAGGTCATCTTCAAGTATTTCCGTCGTGTATCCAAGCCTTTTATCCAGCATTGCGACCGGTTTACTTGTTGAGCTACTCAATCCACCTAATAGCAGAACACTTCTACTCAATACAATAGGAAGCTTATTAAAAATTTTTGGTTGTATATTAATTTTGTCTTTATTTTTAGGTGACTTAACTGACAAAGAGACCCTTCCGGTGAAGCAACTTCGTTTTGGTGACACAGGCAGTGCTCTCGATCAAAAAGAAGGACGTTACACTTTGGGACCACTGATTTGTGAAGGAGATGATTTGTTTAACAACGTCGTTACATTCCGGGTGGCAGATGCCACCATCAACTTACCTACGTTCGACATGGGTCATAGCGGTGATATTTATTTCGAATTCCGAACTGCTTCATCTAGTGCCGTACTCTTCCATTCCACAGGTAAATAATTTTGCTAGTGGATTTTTTTTTAGTTTATAATCAAAGAATATAAACGGTATAACAAATACCAGAACAGTGAATTTAAATATTTTAATTTTGAATTACAGGACCTTCAGATTATATTAAATTGAGCATAGTTAACGGAAATCAACTTCAGTTCCAATACCAAGCAGGTTCAGGTCCTATTGCTGTCATTCGAGAGGTTTCTTACAGATTAAATGACGATCAATGGCATTCTGTATCTGTGGAACGTAATAGAAAAGAAGCTATGATTGTAATCGATGGTGCCCTAAAAGCTGAAGTAAGAGAACCACCAGGGCCAGTAAGGGCATTGCATCTGACATCTGAACTCTTTATTGGAGCGTCTACAGACTATAGGGATGGTTTTACTGGTAAGTAGTGTTAAAGTCTGGTTTTTATACAAAATTATTCAATATAGTAGAAGTGACATAAAATATTATAAGTGTCAAACAAAAGTAATTGGTTAACTTATAAGTTAAATCTATAGTTTTTGTTTAAAAACAATCAGTCAAAACAATGACACATAGGAAATTAAACGTTTTGTTCCAAGACAAAATACTTCTATATAATAAGTTTCAAATATCTTCAAATTATACTAGATCGTCCGTTTTCCTATAAGCAACACCTTTGAAAAATGTTATGTATCAGCCAACAACAGTCTGTGTAACCACTTGGGATCTCTAGCCTACGATGTTCAGCTCTCGAATTGGTGTATTCTGCTGTGAAGTATTGTGCTCTTATCTGAAACACATGGACATACCCCATTGTTGGGTATGGAGAAAGTATGTCCATACCCATCTTAGCAGCACCATGCGTATGGTAAGCGGATCGTTGAGATGCACCCCACTCCAATGTCTTCACATCCTGTCCTAGTAAGACAACAGAAAAATATCAATGATAATCCAGACTTAGTGATATACCAAGATAATCCCGATTTGGGAAGGAACAGGCTAAAATCTAAAAATCTGCTTCTACTAGCCTCCAGGTCCCTATTCGCAGCAAATCTGGAGGTGAAAGACCATTGGAAGAATAGATATCAAGAGAACATCGAACCACATATTCATAGAGTACTTAATCTTAATCAGCTGGTTCCAGGTTTTGATTGTAATCACAAGACATAACTGACACTTAACTGAGTGCGCTAGGTGTGCTGGCATCCTAGAGAAGTAGTGCAAAGCTCCGGCCATCCAAAACAAACCACACAATACGTTATCACAGAATGTACAGAACAAATACACAGTATTAAAGTACAGAACAAATACGACAAAAAAATTAGTGCATTTTTATTGAATAAAAACCCTATAAATAAAAGTATAAAAAAGTACAAACTAAGTATAAAAACTAAATTCATCTTTAAGTGATGCACATAATCCAACATTACATTTGATGCATATTGTTCTCGCTTTACTTTTACAACTTTCTAACACACATCTTCGTCTTTACCATCTTTTAGTAGAATCTACCAAATGTCCAATGTTATCGTATCGTATGTTTCTCGAGTTAGCTTGGGGGATTAGATTTGGTCCTGGTCGTAAAGTAATAGTTTGTTATTTTGTCAAATATCCTTGTACTAAAGTGCGCCTAAATGTTAACTGGGACATTTTTGGGTCTTGATGGCGATACATTAACCAAGCATTAATGACACACAAATCAATAAGATATGTAAAGGGATTCCATCACCACTTTTTTCCTCGTATGTTTATCCTATCTCAGTTGAATTTCGGTCCATTTCGTCTGTTCCCCTCATATACTCATTATATTTTCCTATTACAAACGGTTGCGCTTGGATATTTTTATGTTGCTTCTTGGAATATCTCTTTGCAGGGCGTATAGCTTGAAGACCATGATATGTTGAAACTACTGACACAACGTCGTTGTCTTTCCATCTAACAAAAAATATACCTGATTTTCTTTCTATGGCGCTACAGAATTGTCCTCTGGTTTTTAATAAACGTGGATCAAGTACCCGTGGAAAGATTTTTTTTAATTTTTGATTTGGTTTTTGTTTGTTTCCTCTTTCTTTAACCAGCTGCTTCGATTTTTTAATAGGAGCATTCGATTTTCTTACTTCTAGTTTAGGAATTCTGTTACTTCTCATTGTTCCAGTAGCGTGGTAGCATCTGAATCTAAGGAAGTTGAATAGATTTACTGAAGTAAAGAGATTGTCAAAGTAAATGATCATATCAAAATGATATGGTAACATCCTTTTTTGTGCAAGAAATTCGCTTAAAAGTTTAACAAGGGGAGAAGCAACCTTTCCAGAACTTATGCTATAAGCATCAGGAATTGTAGCATTTTTTCCTTGATAGATATCAAATGTCACACAATAACCTTCTTTTGTGTTAATACACCAAGCCTTATAGCCAAACCGGATCTGTTTTTCTTTAATGAATTGTAAAAGTTCCACGAATCTTTTTTTTTATCATATTCATTAGAGATCTAATTTTCGCAAACTTGTCGGTCATATTCAGTTTAGTGTTGTCGGAACAGTGAATGAACTTCATGATGGACAGGAATTTCTACTAAGTCATTCAATATCTTCGGACTTCTCCCAATAGTGACTTTTAGATGGGACTGAATTGTAACCACTCAAAATAAGGATTCCTATGAAGCATTTTATTTCATCATGTATAATATTTAGATTCTCTTGATTTTTAAAAGCTGTATAATTAGTAGTTTCCTGAGCCAATGTTCAATAATTTCATTGGTAAAAACATTTCAAATACTTCGATGGGGGTTTTATTTTTGAAAAGTTCATAACTCGATGTAGGAAAATCTCCTGTTACATATTTCAATATATCACCTTCAATATATTCTACGTTTTGTACATTATCTCTTTGATAGTCCAACCAAGAACCAATAAATTCTGGAATTTCATTTACATTTCGTTGGTCAAAGTTTTCTGAATAATTATTAGTATTGTCGTTTGTAACTGAAGAGCTACTGGGGCCTGGTGTAAACTGATGAGAAACACATGAAGAAATGGTTGAAAGTTCTTGAATAGCATCATCCGAATTACCACCAATGCGACCGTTAGTAAAAACGAGCTCCGTGGGTGCTAAAAGTTGCTTGCCAGGTAAATGTAAAAAAATTCCGCCTTCATCCTCGTCTCCAGATTCTTCATCAGTAAGTACATTACTTGGTTGAGGTTCAACAAAGATTTTTTCTAGGACTATATTATCATCGTTTTTTAAAATAAGCTCTATTATTTCCTGTAACGAAAATCCAGAACTTAAAAAAAAAGTTTAGGTGCCCACGGGGTCCATATGGGTACGGCATGAAAAAGTTTAAAATAAATGCAACTTGCACAAACATAAATTCATCAAACTGTATATTCTTATAAACTTTCAGCTATTATTAACATAATAAAATAAAATTAAAGTAATAACTCAGAGCCTACATCAAAATATCCTTTAGTGCTTGAACATCGATAAGGCCATCCATTTTAACAATTGAAATAAAACGGACACGTTCACTTTACTGAAATAATTTCAATACTAACAAGAATTTACACTTTCTAGAAACGTGCCAATACACTGATATCTCCTCCAATTAAAAACGATAAGATGTGAGAGGCTTGAAAATATAGTGTATCCATGTGGACCCCCAGGGGGTCCACTACTTATTATGTGCTAAATAAATAAATAAAAATTAAAATCTATCCATATAATAGCAGGCGCATTTAAGCAGAAAAATTATCCATTGCAACTTTATTAACGAATATAAAAATAATCCCTAGTAGCTTATATAATAATATTGTTTTAAATTAATTCATCTTAATTCAGATCTTCACGTTTATAGACGAGGTACACTCATAATATATAAAACAGTAATTCGACCTACAGTAACATATGCCGGTGAGACATGGACATGAAATAAGAAGAAAGAGGATACTCTGGAAAAATGGGAAAGAAAAATATTGAGACGTATATTCGGAGGACGGAAGACAGAAGATGGTTGGGAGAGAAGAACCAACAATGAACAAACAAGGCATTACCAAACAATTGACATTAAACAAAGAACCTACCATTACCAAGTACGTCGAGGCACAAAGAATCAGATGGTTGGGACATGTGAAAAGAATGGTAGCAAACAGAATGCCTAAACTAGTAATAACCAGCAAATTCATCGGCCCCAAAAGAAGAGTAGACCCAGAACAAGGTGGATTAGTAAAGCGGAGGAAGACTTTAAACACGTGAAGGTGAGGGACTGGAAAAGAAAAGCACAAAATAGAAGCGAATGGAGAAATATTGTACACCAGGTCCTTCAGAATAGTTACGAATGTGATATATACATATTTCAGTTAAAGTTTTGTTTAAAATAATTGTAATTAGTTAATATTAGCATTATGTTGTAAAAAAATGCCCTAGGCCTTAACGGCCTATGCCTAACAAGCTACTATATTTTGTCTGTCAAACCGTATAATCATTAACGGACAAAACGTATTGACAAAATATTTTCATGTGAGTCAATCTGCCATCTCCGCGGCGGAGGTCGACCATCATCATAGCTATTCGGACTTTTGAGACGGCTGCTCTGAAAAGTTTATTTGATGTACATCCATACCACTCCCTCAGGTTGCGCAGCCATGACATACTACGCCTCCCTATGCTTCTCTTTCCTTGGATCTTTACCTTTATAATCAGTTGGAGCCAGGTGGATTTCTCTCCACCTGTAATATGTCCGAGATATTCTAATTTTCTTGTTTTTATTGTATTTAAAATTTCCATTTCTTTATTTATCCTTCCCAGAACCTCTTTGTTTGTGACGTGTTCTGTCCACGATATTTTCAGAAATCTTCTGTACACCCACAGCTCGAATGATAAAATAATAAAGCTTGATAATATAATAAAGCTTTATTTTAGCCAATACTTGAAGTTTTATGTTTACCGTTTGGTTTAAACAAGGTCTATGAATGTTGTTATATATTTTACTATGGTAAATTTATTGATATTTTATACGCGACATAACATATTGTAATTTTTAAACAAAATGAATAAAATGTCGCAAGTTAAAATCTTCATTTTTGCTTAAAAATTCACATAGTTACTAGAAACATTAATAAGCAGTAAAACAATTTTTTACTCAAAATATCAGTTTGCTATCACATTATATTATGTTAACATTTTTTTTTTAGGTTGCATCCGAGCTCTACTAATTAACGGTCTTCACATTGATCTTCGTCAATACGCAAGAATGGGTCTATACGGTATACAAGAGGGCTGCATAGGAAAATGCCAGAGCGGTCCATGTTTGAACAACGGTACATGTCATGAGAGATACGATTCCTATATGTGCGATTGTCGTTGGACCGCATTCAAAGGACCAATTTGCGCAGATGAGATCGGTGTTAATATGAGACAAAGTTCTATCATTCGGTATGACTTTGAAGGTTCATTTAGGAGTACTATTGCAGAACATATACGAGTTGGATTCACTACTACAAATCCTAAAGGTAAATAATTACTGTTTTACTAATTTTGATCAAATTACAATATGTATTATACATATACATAACTAAACTTCAAACACCAATTTTATTTAGCATTTAAAGCGCGATGCTACAGTTCATGTTCTAGTCAGACCAACTAAGACTCCTCATATATTCAATACCGTCTATCCAGCAAAGACAGTATCTTCCTTGATTTTTATTTGCTCCCTAGGGTTCATTGATATAGTTTCATAACTGATTAATATTATTTTTATTCATTTGAATTATTATTTTTTCAGTTCAAAGTTGAAACGTGTGGCAAAAATAATTCCTCTTATTATTTCGAAATGGTTCCGATATTCTTCCACCTACTTTTTCTTTTGGTGCCTGTCGATGTTGCCAATCACGTTGGTCCATACAACTTTGTTGACAGCTGCTCTAAATAGATGTATGGTAGTCATTCCTGCCCACTGTCTGATGTTCTTCAACCACGATGTCCTTCTGCGCACTTGAGATCTTTTGCCTTCTATCTTACCTTGTACAATTAGTTGAATTAGAATTAGTTTAGCCAGATTTATATCAGGAAGATTGAGAATAGCGGGAAGAACATGATTCTGTAACAAATCGAGGTATACCCTACTATTCAAGTTGTCCTCAATAAAAAATGAACCTATTATGTGGTCTCATAAAATGCCAGTACAGACGTTAACTTTTCGTGACGTTGAATTCGGTCAACAACACTTCTGTGGTGGTTTTTCCCCGGCCAATACCTCGTAATGAAGAATTGTGTCTCACTACTAACGAAACAGAAGATTCATCAGTGAATAAAATGTTTTTAATAGAATTTGGTCGGTTCATCATTAGCCTTCGTTATTAGCATGGCAATTCTAACTTTATTGACCGCAGCTCGAAATAGTCCTGAAGTGGCCAAGGAAAACCATTTTCGTAACTTCTGGAGCCAAGATATTCTTCTTCCTGGTCCCCTATTTCCGTAGACCTTTCCCTGTCATATAAGTTGCAGCCGGTTAACGCTTCTACTTGAACATCTACCTGAATCTACATCGATTGTTGCACCAATTTGTGAATCCTAGTATTCTCTTTCCTCAAATTTTTCTAGTGACACTTCTTGAGCGTGACAATCTGCAATTTTTGAGGCAATAACAACTCCCAAAATTTTTAACAATATTATGAATTGACTGTACGCAAGGAATTGGTCTCCTCACAAAAAACATAGAAAATAAATCTACACACCGTTGTCCAGAATTATCACCATAAAACCATTTGATTATTTTAATGATGTTTACAAAAACAAATTAAAAATCTGCGCTGTTATTGCTTTAAACAATCACGGCAGAATGACGAATTATTGGCGACAGGTTAACGGAGGTTCGTGGAAACGTACTGTATCGTAAAAATAAAGACATGATAAGGTTCACTATATAAGAAATAGATTTAAAATATCATCACAAGTATCAAAGTATATGCACAAAAAATTCTTTAAATTTTATACGCATAAAAAAACATAAAACATGCAGTCAAATAAGAAAATTTGGTCAAATACGTACAAAGAACACAAAATTTATTGTTTAGTTGATCGATTTCGATTCAAAAATGTTTAAAATAGAGACTATACAAAATATTAATTAATATAAAATAATCTGAATAATGAAATATGCACTGTTTATAACAAAATATTTTAAATATTAAATTCTATCACGTAACTAAATTCAGTCTCTGAAATAAATAAACTTTCTTAACGTGAAAGCAACATCACTTTACTTGGCTTAGAATAGAAGAATTGTATTTACAATAAATTACGTAATCTGTTAGTCGGAGTAAAGCTGGAAATTGGGATTCATCACTGTCAAAGCTTGAATAAAATGGGGCCCATACTAGGATGAAAGAAAGCCTCCAAACTAGAATGAAAGTGGTCTCCTTCTTAGGATAAACTAGGACAAAGTGGTCTCTGTCTTAGAATAAATTAGGGCCAACCTAACAGGAGTCTGGAACACACATAGAATCGTCGTTCACATCTTGATTTCAAAACTGAAAATAAAAAAAGAATTGAAAAGGTGGATTTTTTGTTATACAGAATATCTACGGAAAAAAAGTATTGTTAGCTATCTAATCTACTTGACCTGACGGAATTTTTGCGGTACTTCAGTAAAACCTTTAAAAACCTACAAGCGGCTTGTTTGAAGGAATTAGTTAGCATATTTGCAAACAAAACTTAACGGAATCTTTGGCGGCATTTCGATAAAAGTATTTAAGGGTATTATTTGCGGGTAGTTGAACGACCCTGGGTGGAAATTTTAGGCATGAAATGATTTCTTAGGAAATACTTAGCAAAAATAAGCTTGTATGTTGAGCGTTATTATCATTTGTAATTTTTGTCATCAATGGTAATCACCTTTAAAACGTCACCGTCAGACCGAACTCAAACTTCAGACTAACTCCAAAATATCAGTGGACCTAATTATATACTTCTATATCACGCAGAAAGCTCCTGGAGACAACAAAGATAGAATTATAATAAATCAGATAGATTACATCTTGATACGGAACAGGTACAAGAACTCTATCACAAAAGTGAAGACTTACTCTGGAGCAGATGTAAACTCGGACCACAACCCAGTAGTAGCAAATATGAATGTAAGATTGAGAAAACCATTAATGAAAAGATCTAGACCACAAATATACATTAATAAACTAAGAGAACCAAATACATACCAAGAAACTCGAAATAAAATAAATCAGAGTATCCAAGAAATAAAACAACAAAATAAGAAACACTACAGATATTGAAACAAAATGGAAGAATATAAAGAACACAATAGAGACTGTGGGACGGGAAACATTAACATTTACAAAAGCTGCCAAACAAGAACGGATGACACAAGAAATTCTCCAAAAGATGGACGAAACAAGAATACATACAAACAAAGATAACATTAAATATCAAGAAATTAATAAACAAATAAAACAGAAAATAAAACTAGGAACAGAAGCTAAGGAAACATGGATGTCCATTAAATGTTAAGAAATTGAGGAATGTGAGGCAAGGTATGACACTTACAACGCCCATAAGAAGGTTAAGAAATGATTTCTGGAAATCGTAACAAACCAATCGGGATATTAACAAATGCAGATGGTACCACTATAACTGAAACACAAGACAAATTACGTAGATGGAAAGAATACATTGAATACCTATTTTATGACCAAAAACTAGAACAATTAGAAGTGGACGGAGAAACCATGGGACCAGAAATAATGAAAGAGGAAGTTATTTATGCCATAAAATACACAACACGTAGAAAAGCTCCAGGACCTGATAATCTACCAATTAAACTATTGAGGATAATTGATGAAGATAATATTGATGTCTTTATAGATCTTTTTAACTCGGGAGGGACACAAGACGGGACACATACCCAAAGAATAGATTCTCTCAACTTTTGTAACGATTCCAAAAATCACAAATGCTAAAGATTGCAATGACTATCGGACAATTGCATTAATGAGCCACACATTGAAAACCTTCCTTAAAATCATACATAACAGAATCCACATGAAACTAGAACAAGAAATAAGTGATTCACAGATGGGTTTTAGAAAGGGTCTAGGAAAAGTATTCTAAGACAAAAAACATAGATAGTAGAGATCTACAGATTATAACGAATCTGTATCAAAATCAGAAAACAAGAATAAGAATCGAAGTAGAACTGATAGAGTGACAGAGGAAGTAAGTATAATTAGATGAGTTCGACAAGGGTGTATACTTTCACCACTCTTATTCAATTTCTACAGTGAATTGATATTTCAAGAAACTATTGGATATTGTGGAAGGTATTTTGGTCAACGGAAATAGCATTAATTATATTAGATATGCGGATGATACGGTCATATTTGCAAGTGACATGGAAGATCTACAGTGCATAATACAACATGTATACAATGCATGTGAAAGGTACGGACTGCAAATGAATCTCAAGAAAACGAAATCAATGATATTCTCAAAAAAACACAAAATGTAGATAAAATGATCATCAATAATACAACGATCGAAAGAGTAACAACATATAAATATTTAGGAACGTGGCTAACCGAAGATGGAGATCAAACAAAAGAAATCAGATCTAGAATAGAAATGACAAGAAATACGTTCATAAAATTGAAGAGCTTATTTTGCTACGTTGTTACGTTTTTTCTACTTGACTATACGGCATGGAAGCGTGGACAATAAAACAGTCTGAAATCAAAAAATTACACTTCTTTGAGATCTGGTGCTACAGGAGAATCCACAGAATATCGTGGACTGAACAAGTAACTAATATAGAGGTGTTACAAAGAATGAAGGAAGAATGTGAAGTCATAAAAACTGTTAAAATTAGAAACATTCAATATCTGGGTTATATAATGAGGGGCGAGAAGTACGTATTACTTAGCTTAATTATGCAAGGGAAGAGAAACCCAGGACGACGCAAAATATCCTGGCTAAGAAATTTGTGAGGGTGGTTCGGTTGCAGCTCATTAGAATTATTTAGAAGCGCGGCCAATAAAATTAAAATAGCGATGATGATTTCCAACTTCCGATAGGAGAAGGAACCTGAAGAAGAAGAATATCATTTCTAGAATTTACTTAATCCTATGTTTATTCTTTTCGATATTTCTGGTAGTTCTGTTTATTCTAGGGTGTTATAGATTTTCTCTAAGCAGCATTACGCAAGCACATTTTTTATACATACAGTAAAACCTCCGTTAACCGAAATAATTGGGGGGAGGCCGTTTCGGATAACAAGAATTTCGGTTAAAAATATCATTGTTTTTTATAGTATTCTTGGTTAAAGTATTGGTATTTAAAAAATACTATGAGGTGGTTTGGTAAAGTCTCTAATAAGTAAATACAGAATAAAGTAATAATATTAAGGAAAATGAACAAGTTTAACAAGTTTTTTATAGAAATCTTCTATTTTCTTTTACGTTATCGTTTCACAACGATGTTTTGCAGCTATATCTCCATCATTCATTTGCAGAACATCGTGAGTTTGCCTCATTTCATCGTTCGACGAAACGTAAAGTAATCTGAAAAGGACAAAACTTTATACAATGACAACAAAAATTAAAAACCTAGTCGTGTCCCTAACTAATTAGGCATACTGTATAGAATTCTAATCCTTAAGGCATTAAAAATCTCTTCGGCGGTCTCATGCTGCCTGTTATCTGTTGCTGCTTTGCATTGGCTTCGTCACATCCCGGCAAAATTTTTTATTAAAGGTTTAATTTCTTCTGTCGTTTCTTTGCCATTTTATTCTTCAGGATCGTCAATCAAAATCCTATCAAAAAGTTAGTTTCCAGCATTTTTCCAAAGTTAAAGATTTGATCTTGGCCCAGAACTCAGCACACCGATAAACAACATGTTTCATTGTTGAACATTTGAGGATTTCTATAATCTCTCGAATGTCTTGATTACTCCCTGATTTAACAGCTGAATTAAGCTCGTGGCATTCGGTAGCAAAAATTATCTGACAATTATCACTATTGTATGATTTTGAGTCAACAAGCAACGATGCTTTGATGGGAAGGTTTATTTTTTATTTTAAAAAGGATTTTACGCTTGGGACGAATTCATTTTCGAACCATTCTGAAAATAAAGTGGTCGACATCCATGAGCTTTTTTGGCTTCTATAAAAAACTGGAAGTGCTTTTTCTCAAATATCTTTTGAGAGCAATTGGTTTTTTTGATTTCCCAACACACATAGGCATCAATCGGTGAGTGAAATTAATGGAATTTACATTTTGCGATAAAATTTCCTTTTTATTGACGAAATTATTGAAACTGTCAGCTGTTTCGGTTAAACGATGTTTCTGTTAAAAAGGTTTCGGTTAAGGGAGGTTTTACTGTACTTTTAATAATGTACAAACATTGGAAAAGGAAAATGACAAGAAAGTACATAGTAAAAATATAAAGAAATATTGCAATCCCAAATTTAATTATGGCCAAAAACATTTTGTTTATAATAATATTTAGAAAATTCCATGTATCTTAAATTTCTGATATGTTATATATTCATTTTCAGGTTTCCTTTTGGGATTAATTTCAAATATGACCGGAGAATACATGACCATCATGGTATCAAATTCTGGTCATTTACGTATTGTTTTCGACTTCGGATTCGAACGTCAAGAAGTCATTTACCCAGAAAAGCACTTTGCTCTAGGCCAATATCACGATCTGATAGTTTCTAGAAAGAACGGAGGATCAACATTGGTGATGCAAGTTGATGGATATGAAGCGAAAGAGTTTAATTTCAATATTAAGGTAAAGTTTTATTATTATCGTTATCTTCTGGTTTTTTTATTGCATTTTATAAAGCAAACCAAAAATCCAAAGGTAGTTGTGTTACATTCAGTATTTTTTTTTTATTTTAACCATAAAGTAATAATAGCGCTTTTTAACGACGTTTTTGTAGACCATGTCTGTAAAAAATTCCTGTCCACATAATCCAAGAAATCACAACTTGAATTTTATAAAATCTCAGAGTAATGATTTGATTTTTAGCAAAATTAAGTGCAAAAAAATAATTGGTCGGTAATTAGTTTTGAAGATTTTTTTTAATTTCTTTTCTTTACAGTAGAGGTAATGCCTAGTAAACCGGGTTATATTAAAAAAACAATACTGAATACACAAAAACAAAAGTTCAATACTTTTGTTAAAAAGGCTAATATACCCGGTTCGCTATTCCCAGTCCGAACTGTCTAGTGATTTTAGTAATTATTTTTTTGCGAACTTACTTACTTTTTGACCGACTCGAAGTGGCTGGAAATTTCTATATAACCAAGCATACGTGCTCTTAGTCAATATCAATGTAAACAAAAGTAAATAAAATAGAACTTTGCCGACAATCAATATTTATTTACACCGTATAATGTATTGATAACAAATAATAAAATTATTTATTGTACAAAATAAAAAAAGTGGAAATAAATTCTACAAAATTAAAAAGTCAAAGTGAGGTTAAATAAGACACAGCAAGTTCCTTATGTTGTGACTAGGATGGAATCAATGATTAAAGATTAACAGTTCATTGGATAACATTAACATAAACTGTTGTTTTATTATCTTACAAAATAAGTGTACTTCCATATGCTAAAAGCAAATATTAGTAATTTGACTAGGCAAATTCGTGGTTCAATAGTAATTTTTGCTCATTAGCATTTGAGGATGTTAAAATCTTCCACATATGGTTAATGAATTCAGTGTCCTGGCCGCAGTCTGCAGTCATATAAACCCAAACAAACAACAAAAACCTCCATGTAGGTATAAACAAGTTTATATTAAATTAGAAACAACTAATCTAAAAATATTAACTTTTAAAAAACATTTTATCATATTTATTAAGAAAAACTTACCAACACATTAGCTGATGGAACAAATGGAAAACTTTGACTATCCATAATAATAAAATTTAAAATATAACTAACTAATTAACTGAATAGAACTAACAAAAGAATTAAACAAAGATAATAAAACAATAAAACTATATTAAATTAAATAAACAACGCGAATAATACAAATATTTACTACAATATTTTAAATTGTAACAATTCAAATACTATATTTTAAATATACAGGGAAAATTTGATGGGTTTAGTATACACTTCCACTATTTAGAATAATTCTTCTTTTTTTCAAAGAAAGAAGTCTGCAATAGTAGTATACTTGAGGTATTAATACTGAGAAGTAGGAATTGTTGTGTTGTAGGTTTCCGACAATGAGTCTGTCAAAATATGCCCTAGCTAAGCGAATAGACAATATTGAAATTGATTAGTATAATTTGTTTTTGTAGGCATCTGCTGACGCTCAATTCAACAATATTCAATACATGTACATTGGAAAGAACGAATCTATGACAGAAGGTTTCATCGGTTGTGTTTCTAGGGTAGAATTTGATGATATATATCCGTTGAAATTGCTATTCCAACAACAAGGGCCTGGAAACGTCAGATCGTTAGGAAGTAAGTATCTGTATAGTATATAGTATAGTAAGGGATCTTCGGAGCGACTGTTCACAGACGCTCTGAACGTGAAAACAAATCTTTCCTGTCGTAGTAGAAACAACACTAACATGGCTTCGTATGGACAAAAACAGCCACATCTGATAATAAATCCGTAAAGTATTTTTTTTTTTATGTTTTTTACTATATTTTTTATGTGACTACAGATACGGTTTGTCAATTATGGCCTTTATAGTATTCCAACGTCGGTATATCTGTAGTTGCAAATAATTTTTGGCAGATTATAATTTTACATTCATTTATATTTATAATTTGACATTCTTCTGGTGTTTTTGCCGTATTAAGATATTTATAAAATGGGTTGGTTATCATTCTTGTTGACTTCTTGTATCCAGCGTTTCTACGCTGAGCCATATTTCCTGGTCGGTTTACTATTTCGATTGTTTCGCGTTGGTACCTTATTATTAATTTGTTTACCGCGTTTCTTTTTCTTCGACAACCCTTATTTCTTGTTAATTTATTCACCATAATGTTTACTTGTCCCTCTTCAATATCGTCTTTTTCTGGTGCCGTACGCGATGCAGGCGTTTATGCTGGTTGAATTATGCGTAAGGATCCTTCTGCTGTTGATTGCTGCACCAGTTTCTTATGTCTCCTAACCATGAGTCTTGTTTGCGACCTGGTCCTCTCTCCAACCTTAAATTTTGCACATTAAAATGATTTTTAAACGATTATATATGTCGTCTCTTAAAATATGGCCTAAATATGAGATCTTTCGCTGTTTTAACTGTGTTTCGAAGGTTTCGGGTATTAGTTCTTCTTAAGATCTCTTTATTTGTAATCTGGTCGCCCCATGGAATTTTAAGCAACCTTAAGTAGTTATTGAATTTGGTAAAAGTATTTCTAACTAGCGTATCTTCACCTCTTTGTCGCAGTCACATTTACTGTTTAAGGTAACTATATTTAAATTTCTCAACTCTGTCTATAAGTTAGTTGTTTATTTTCAACTGTGCTTGCATGTGGGATTGTCTGCTGATTATCAATAATTTCGTTTTTGTGATGTTAATTTTAAGATCACATTCCTCTCCCATCGTAATAATATTATTTACTATCGCTTGTAATTCTTTATGATGTCTGCTATGATAGCTGTATCATCGGCATATTGCAAATTATTTATGGAAATTCCATTTATTTTAATACCTTTTTCATTCTGCTGTGCAAGTTGGAAGATCTTTTCTACATTAATGTTAAAAAGCAGAGAGGAGAGCATGCAGCCCTGTCTCACCCTCTTACTTATTTTTACTTGTTATGTATAATATATAAACCATTGGAGTTCCTTAATTCGACCTTTTGAGAGAGGCGAGAGGTTGTAGTCCTATATCACTCCTCCCATCTAATATTTTTTTTATGAGGGTGCGATCAAAATGTTCGAATATTTTACTTGTTGAGACCTAAATCTTGGCACTGCTGTAGAAGAGTGAATAATTATATTATGATGACACTAATAGTTCCGTATATAATTTCTATAACTTATAAAAAAAAAGTAAGTAATAATGAAACCCTATTTCTTTAACTTTTAGCTAACCTGACTGAAGATTATTGTGGTGTGGAACCCATTACTCATCCACCCGATATCATTCAAACTAGACCACCACCCATTTTAGATGAAGAAAAATTAAGGAGAGCCTACAACCAAGTTAACTCAGCTGTATTAGGAAGTGAGTATCTATTTCTTGTTATGATGTGTTTGTCACTAATAAACACTATTCAATAGATGTTACATATATAAAAATTCTGTAGCAGTAGTACTTAGTTGTCATTAATTGTTGTTTAATTAAAAAATATGTTAGTTGCCATCTAAAATCCCGTTTAAAAACCCGTTTTACTTAAAATTTTAACATCCTACATAATTATCAGCAACCATTTAATCTACATGTATTTATGCATGCTTCATTGATTACCATAAAGCGTTCGACACAGTAAAATACGACAAGCTTACGAAGATATTGACAAATATTGGAATAAACACCTGTGATTTCAGAATTATTAGCAATCTTTACTGAAATCAAATATCGTCTATCCGTACAGAGGCAAGAGAATCCTATGGTATCAAAATCAAACGTGGAGTCCGACAGGGATGTATAATATCACCCCTGCTGTTCAACATATACTCAGGAAATCTTTCAAGAAGTAATAGAGGATGTTGAAGCCGGAATTCGAATTAACGGAGAATGTATCAATAACATCAGATACGTGGATATGATGAACTCTAAGATGGAACATCAAATTGAAGGAATCAGTGTGAATGGTCAACCAATAGAAAGAGTAAAAACATACACCTACCTTGGTACTAACGTCAATCAAAACTTGGGACCATTCCCTAGAAATCAATTGTAGGATAAAGAAGGCAAGATCTGCATTTCAAAAAAAAGTTATTCAAACGCCATGATTTATCAGTACCCATAAAAAACAGGTTACTACGATGTTATATTTTTTCCTATACTGGTGTACGGGTTAGCCACAACCACCACCAACACCCGACACACTAGTGAGCGAGCGAGCGTGCGCGCTCTCTCTGCTCGCGATACACACACCACCACAACAGCTTTGAAATGTGACTAATCTCGAATTCTAAATATGTCTATACCATCTCTACACACACACACACACACACTCCACTCTATGAGGAGAGACTCTGCAAATATCATAACACACACTCATGGAAGATTGTTATCCTCAATAAATCGCGAGTCGTAGCGAAGAGCGTGTCTCTCTACTATCTCACATCACTACTCCTCCCCCACACACAGCCACTCAGTTGTGCGAGTGAGCGCGATACTCTGCTTGAAGAGGTGTTCAAGTCGAGCAAGGGGGGGGGAGAAATTCTGGGGGGGGTTATTGGGGTCTCTCTCTCTCTCTCTCTGTCGGTCATCTCGAGACGAGAGCTATTGTCATCAACCTAGGGTCACGATTGGGAAGAGGAGAGGGGGGGGAAACTATATACAAACACATAATGACTCTATATCTGAGGGTGGAGGTGGCGGACGGGAGGTGCTGACGGAGGCTAATATTATGTCTCAAACTATATACACACACACACACACACACACACACAACACACACAAGTAGGAGCTATGAGAGTGAAGCGAGAGACACAAGACACAGCGAGCTAGCAACGACGAGAGAGCTCGGCGGTGAGGAGTGGAAGTCCACACTAGAATGAGATATATGTTTTTGGTGTTTGTTTTGGGAGTAGTAAGTATGTCTCTCTTGGAGTGTGTGGTTGTAGGCAGTCGTGGGGTGTGAGCGGGGGAGGGGGGTTGTGACACACACACAGTGGAGGTGAGAGGAGCGAGGGGGCCAAGGGGGATAACAGGGAGGGGTGTGCACACACACACACACCCACACACATACACTATATAGTCATATATCTCTATATGGGTAGTAGGAGAGGTTGAGCGGGAGAGAGGGGCGGGGACAGTCGCGTAGAGGAAGGGGAGGAGCGCGTGTCGTAAGGGAGGGGATTGTGAGTGGTGGGGGTGTGATAGAATGGGGGGGTGTCTCTGTGAGATATATCTTCTAGAAATGGGTAGAGTGTATGATGATATCATAGTATATATTTAGATGACTCATAATATTATGGAGTGAGTAGTTAGAGGAATGAGACTTGGGTGATATATTTCTTGGTGTGAGTGAGAGTGGGTGGGAGTGAGGTTTGGGTGTGAGTGTGTTGTTAGGAGGGTTTTGGGGGATGATAGGGGGGTTGGGTATGGTGGGGGGGATGTGTATGAAGGGGGGTGGGGGGTGGGGGTGGTTAGGGGTTGGGTGGGTGTAGGGGGGGGGGTGGGTTTTTTTTGTGGTGTTGTGTTGTGGGATTTGTGGGTTGGATGGTGGGGGTGTGGTGGGTGGTTTTGGGTTGTAGGTGGTTGGGGTAGTTTGTGGGGGGGGGTGGGGGGTTGGTGGGGGGGGGGGTGAGTGGGTGGGGTGGTGGGGTGGGTGTGGGGGTGGGGTTGGGGGTGGTGGGGTGGGGGGGGGTGGGGGTAGGGTGGGGGGGGTGGGGTGGGGGTGTGTGGGTGGTGGGTATGGGGGGTTGGGGGGGGGGGGGGGGGGGGGGGGGGGGGGGGGGGGGGGGGGTGTGGGGGGTGGTGGTGGGGGGGGTGGGGGGGGGGGGGGTGTGGTTGGGGGGGTGTGGGGGTGGGGGGTGTTGTGTTGATTGGTGTGGGTGTGGTGTGGTTGTTGTTGGTGGTGTGTTGTGTAGGGGTGTGGGATTGGTTGTGATGTTTGGGGTTGTTGGGGGTGTTTTGGTTGTTGTGGGTGTTTGGTGTGGTGTTTTTTGGTGTTGGTTTGGTGTGGATTGTTGTAATAAAGGTGTTGATGTTGTTGTTGTGGGGAGGGGTGTGATGAGGTGATTATTTGGTGTGAATTTGGATGAGTTTTGAGATTTGTTGTGTTTTTATGGTAATATTGTGATATTGTTGGATGAGGTTTAGGTATAGGTATATGTATGACCAATAACTGCTTAAACTTTGAGAGGAAAATCCTAAGAAGAGTATAATATATGGAGGAAGAAGCAAGGTTTGTGGCGCAGGAGTTACAATTTCGAGTTAAACAGAGATTTTGGGGAACTTGACGTTGTAAAATTCATTAAGGTAGCACGTCTTAGATGTATAGTGGATGTAATCAGGCGAAATGAAGGTGCAACAATCAGGAAAAGTTTTTGGACGATGAGACAACGAACCAGGAGAAAACCGACACTTAGGTATCAATACAACATAGCAAATTATTTCAAATCTATTGTGAGTTAGAAAATGGAGAAGTGTTGTCAGAGTCAGGGGCGAATGGAGTATGTTCTGAAGAAGGCTTTGGCTCATAACGGGCTGTGATGTCACTGATGATGAAAAGTGACCGAAATCAACGCTATTAAAGAATTACCGTATTGGTACAACAGTCAACAGAAACCAATGTACGTTTGTTTTTTAGATTTTGAGAAGGCGTTTGATAGGGTTCAACATGGTAGGCTGTTTGAGTATCTAGAAATGATTGGAATAGGTGATAAAAATCTGAGACTTTTACAACATCTATATTGGAATCAACAAGCTTCTATTCTGGTAGACGGCAAAGAAACAGACAAAATTTGTATTCAAAGAGGTGTTAGACAGGGTTGTGTGTTGTCCCCAACTTTGTTTAACGTTTACTCAGAAATAATTTTTAACAAAGCCTTGGAAGGACAATGTGGAGTTTAAATCGGAGGAGAAACTATTAACAACACAAGATATTCAGATTACACCGCGATCATGGCTGAAAGTATCGAAGCTCTTCAATTCCTTATAGATCGAGTCACTAGAGAATGCTCTAATAACGGACTAAGCATAAATACAACAAAGACAAAGTTACTTGTGATTACTAAAAAAGACCTCTGCGCTATACAACTAATTGTCAATAATGAACCGATAACAAAATTTAATCATTTTAAATACCTAGGATGTTGCATAAACGAGAAACTAAATCCGGATGAAGAAATTAAAACTCAGAATGTTATGTGTATCCTGTATTACTGTTCGGACGTGAAACCTGGATTACGAAGGTACATGATGAACGAATTAGAAGCCTTCGAGATGTGGTTATATCATAGAATGCTCAGAATATCATGCGTTCAACACATTTCAAACAGAGAAGTCTTGAACAGAGTAGGTCAAGGTGAAGGTGACTTAATAAGAATGAAAAAAGAGAAAACTCGAATATCTGTGCCATATAATAAGAGAAAGCTGATACAGGATAATGCAGTTGATACTCAATGGAAAGATCGACGTAAAAAGAGGAATTGGTAGGAAGAAATACTCATGGCTCCGAAACCTTCGTCAATGGACTGGCTTATCAGCACATGAATTATTACATGCCGCGCAAGATCGAGAACGATATCGGCAAATCTTCATGGAAGCTACCCACGTCTAAAACTTGGGCACGGTACTCAAAGAAGAAGACAGTCATAAAAACAGGCAATAGAGTATGACGCTACTAACGAAACTCTGAGCACTTGGAATAAAAATCTGGTGTTATGGATTTGCCTATTGGGGGCACAAATCTCAAAGGTACGATATGCAGACGATCAGATAGTGACTGTTCAAAAGAAAGGGGACCTTGAATATAAGTCAAGACAACTGATAGAGAAATATCGGGATAGGGCTCTGGAGAATACGAAAAAACACATGTGAGAAATGTAAGATTAGGTGGGAAATATTGTAGATATAATATCTAAAATGACATACAGCAAAAAAAAATACTTAGAGCTTCAGAAATGAGAGCGTTAAGTTAAATTTATATGAAAACATTTAGAGACCGAGTACCAAATAAAAAATAAAACATATTGTTTGATGAGGAAGGCAGACACCAAAAAGCACCAGGCCTCCCTGATGGAATAATAACCCTTTAACACGTTGCCTGCCTTAGAGGAATTTGTAATACTTTCCTTTCACGCCAATTCCATTTCTGCTATATGGTCGAAAAGCTTACCGCTCACGCCACGGTGCACAGAGCTACCTTTATATAGCCTGTAATGTCGGTCTGCATTGGTCAGATTGACCGAGACGGCACCACAGTTACGTTAAAATTCTCGGTCAAATAGACCTCGCTGGCGTACAGAGCAATTTTTCTCGGTCGCATAGAGCGAGACGGCAGGCAACGTGTTAAAATATGGCGATATAGCTGGTAGACGTCACAAACACAAATACAGCCTCGATACCGGAAAAGAACAGATCTAAAGCCTAATATTAGAAGAAGAAAAATATTCCAAGAAAGAATAGTGAACAGTTAGGCACGTAATAAAAAATCTGTTAATGAATCTTCTTATTCACACTACAAGACTTTTGCATATTTATTGTTGACTTTTTGCAAAGCCAACGATATAGAGGTTGAAATAAAACGCTTACGATCATTATTTTTATTTGATAAACTATACAGAATTACTTGTTCTTTTAAAAAAGTTGTTTTTTATTGATTTGTCAGAACTTTTGTCATCATCTAGTCCTTTATAAATAAATTAAAAAGACCTGCAATTTAAACAAAAACGGTTGCATTACAATATTTACCATAGATCATAGCCAGAAGGGAGTGTCTTTAAATAGTATTATAAACTGTATGAAAATATGAATGTAAAAAACTTGAATTAATTGTTAATATTACATAAAATAACATTAAAATAACATAACATTAATTGTTAATTTTCATAAAACATCTTATTATATTTAATAAGATATTTTATGAAAAAGTAGATAAGAATTGCATGTAACATCCACCCTATTCCCTAGATTAGGCTCACTCTTACTTCTATATATTCGCACATCTACGTATGTCAATATTCTAATGAACAAATCTTGTACTTAATGAAAAATATCAGAAATAGGAAACTTACGAAATTTCGTAATTATTCAAAATGTACCGTTTTTATATTGAGCACTTAACATTCAGGATTACTTACACATTACACATCAGATTTGGTATTTTTTCGATATACCTCCATGAGTTATGTTTCTAATCTAATGGGTTTGTTAATATATAATTACGTTTACCACACATTCATTGTGTATGTACGTGTTCATCATGGCTACCGTTTATTCAATTTTTTCCAAATTGTGCCAATCATCTTCAAAACCATATCCTTTCTAACTGTTTTACTACATATATGTTTCGTCATTTTCCTAATCTTTCGCCGAGGTTGCTTCCAGATCGCTTATATATCTTATATATGTTTACCTTAAACGATTTTCGTGGTTGTACTAATTTTCAATATAAAATGAGATTAACTGAAGACAGAAATGAAGAAATTAAAACTATGTTACATTCTCATGTTTTTATTATTAATCTGTTTCACCCTTTGACATCGGGTTATCGTTAGGTCATATTTGTTAGTAAAATTAAATATTTTTATCCAAGTGACTAGTTATCACGTTTTTTAAGCTTTAAAGAGATATGAATATATTAATAGTTAAAATTTTTTATTACATTTCCCTAAACAACATCTACCGCTTTCTATTTAAATTAATACAAATAAGTGTATATTATATTCGTATGAACGTTACACATTGCTTAACTTTATACAAAAAAGTACAAGACATTATTGCATTGCCTCGGCTGTTAGATTGTTAATTTCGTTAAACTACCTTCGAATGGAGAATGGAAAATGGATGAGAGAAAGGTGCGATGAAATGAAGAATTTAATATCTAAACACGACTTATTTAATGTGCACAAAAAAACTTAAAAAAATGGGCAACATATTTAAAAAACGAGTTCCCTATGTACTCGTTGACAATAATAACAAAATTATTGTAAATGAGCACAAAATAAGAAAATAATGGCAGCTGCATATATCAGTTGTTTAAAGATAACAGGAATAATATTGCCGAATTCTACCAAAACTGTACTGACGGCCCAGAATTTATGAAATGCGAGGTAGATCACGCTATAAATAATGCTAAAATTAGAAAAGCTTGTGATCCAGATGGTACACCAACTGAGTTGCTGAAACTAATGGAGGGTGATAACATAAAAGTAGTAGTAATACTTTTTAATTCAATATATAACACCGGAGTTATTCCCACATTAAAGGTTGTTTAATACTAACTAATCTATCAATCAATCGTTCGGGAAATACCTGATCTAAATAAATCTCTTTTTTAAAAACCCATCTTTATTGTAGGGCTTTTAAAAACACATAAAACAATTGTCAGCTTTAGTTAGTAATACAATTTATTTTACAAAACTTTTCAATTAACATCAAAAGCTATTGTTAGTTTTATGAATTAATGTCAAAATCACAGCACTCTATATTTACTGAATTACTTCAAAACTATTTAGTACTGAGAAGTTTTTTAATATTGTTCTGAAGCTATTTTTTTGTGGCATTGTAAATTAATTACTATTTATAACTGGGAATAAGCCACAATTAAAGATAAAAATACGTTTATTGACGTTTCAATTTCCAATTCGGAAATCGTTCTCAAAATACAAACAGTAAATTAAACAAATTTTGCTTTTTGTTACATAGTGAAAAAATTCTTCTAATAATTTAATTTTATCTGACTCATTTATATTGACAATTCAGACATACATTATGCATTTTAAAGTAGACGACTTTAAAATGATATTGTCAATATTGTTGAGTTGCGCTCCTGGGACGACTTTACTTATAAGATAGTTCATTCGATTACATGAAATCAACTTTAACTTGAGAATATCCGTCAGAAAAAATCATAGCATGTAATTCGTCTTTAAAAAGACAAACACATGACATGATGACAGTAAAATTCTCCTGTTAGTGATTCCATAGTAAATTATGAGGGAAAAACCCAGGAAAAAAACCTCATAATACTATCCCGACATTGTAAGTATTTGTTCGTGAATTTAGTTTACCTTCAACAAACATCAAAATTCTGATTATGTTACGTTATTTAAAAAAACATAAATGATGTATCCTCTATATGTTACTGATTTACTAATACTGGTATTTTCTTATTAATAACTTCCTCTTTCAATATTGGTAACCAGATCCTACTACATTCTGCCGAGGAATTTGCGACACAATTGGCCTCATTTAGCATAATTAGAGCCGCTTCTTTGATTTTTCTTTTTTTACCATCCGTTTCTTTTAGGACTATATTTGAATTATTCCATTGAACCCTATGTTCATTATCCCATGCGTGTTTACATATTTGAGATCTATCAAATTCTCTATTTTTAATATAAGATTGATGTTCACTTATTCTAACATTTAATGGCCTTGATGATTCACCTAAATAAAACTGATCGCATTCACAAGGTATTTTATAAATGCAATTCTTTGTCCTTTCTTGTTCATTGTTAGGTTTGGTTTTGGACAAAATAGATCTCAACGTGTTTGTTGTTTTGAATGTTGTTGAAATGTTGAATTTATTTCCGATCCTTTTAAGTTTTTCTGATAATCCTTTTATGTACGGTATTGTTATTTTTCTCATATTATTCCTTGTGTATGCTGTAGGATCTCGTTCTAAGTTGTTCTGTTCTATTCGATCGATTGTTGAAAATTCCTTATTTATAAACGATAAAGGATAATCATTTTTTAATAAAACAGATGTTAACAAATGTTTCTCCTCCAAGAACGAATTTTCGTTAGAACAAGTAATTTTGGCTCTATCGTATAAGGATTTAATTATTCCCTTTTTTACATTAATATTGTGATTTGATTTGAAATTTAAATATCTATTGGTGTGCGTTGGTTTTCTATACACCTGAGTCTCACATCCAGTATCGTTCTTAGAGATTAAAACATCCAGGAAAGGTAGCGTGTTATTATATTCCTTTTCCATGGTAAATGTTATTGTCTCTTCTTTATCGTTTATATCGTTTAGGAATGTGTCCAACAACTCTGATCCATGAGGCCATATTGAGAATACATCATCTACATACCTCCACCATACTGTGGGTTTGAAATTTTGTTTAGAAATGATATTTGTTTCAAAATCTTCCATAAATATATCGGCTAAGAATGGAGATAAACTAGAGCCCATTGCTAGACCAAAATTTTGTTTATAGAATTTATTATTTAGTTGAAAATATGTATTATCAGTACATAATGTTAATAACTCCATTATAGCCGATATGTTTAGTCTTGTTCTAGTTGCCAATGAATCATCACTCTCTAATTTTGTCTTGACTATACTTAAAGTTTTATTTAATGGCACATTCGTAAATAAACTATTTATGTCAAAACTTACCAAAGTATTATTTGAATTAAATTCAATATTTGATAATTTATTTAAAAAATGTTGTGTATTTTTTATGAATGTGTCATTTTTATTTGTATAAGGTTTTAAAATATTTAATAAAAATTTTGATAGTTCACTACAAGGAGAATTCATGGTACTACAAATGGGTCTAAGTGGTATATTCGTTTTATGAATTTTCGGTACTCTCTAAAAAATGAGGAGTCTTACTGTAAGTTTTATTCATTTAAGACCTTTGCGACTAGATAAAACACCAAGTGTTACATATGGTTGAACTCGTTTTGAAGTGAATTTCAATAATAATACAATCTACAGAGTGTTGTATTAAAAAAAAAAACAAAGTGACTAATGATATCAGAAAAATCAAATTTGAAATCTCCATATTGATGCAATAGGTGTATCCCGTTTTTTTACATTTCGGACCATCCATTTAAGAGATAATTAGGTGTTTGCAAACTTTTGGTCCATCCTGAGTATATTACGCATTAATGTTGTTACAAATTTCTGATTTTCACATTTTTGTTTACATGTTTTTTGGCTTATCCACGTGTTTTCCATGTAAGGTAACAATCCATATTTTAAATTATGTTTTGTATTTTAGGTGTTCTGGCTATCGTGTTCCTCGCCCTCGTAGTTCTCCTAATAATCATCGGCAGATACTTACACCGACACAAAGGAGAATATTTGACCCAAGAAGACGCCGGTGCAGACACAGCTTTAGATCCCGACACGGCCGTCGTGCACGGCGCCACCGGACATCACGTTCAAAAGAAGAAAGAATGGTTTATATAGAACCGATATCGATTACGTTTAAGATATTTTTATTGAAAATTGGCCTAAATAGTACAAGTACCGCTGTAATATAGTTTTGTATTCGATTTAAGTAATATTTTATCGATAATGGTTGCAATATGAACAAGTGCTGTACTTTACACCTTAAAATTAATAGTCAAAATAATTTATGCCACTTTATTCACACTAGATATGCGCATTTTGCTTTATTTCTGATAGCTGAACACTTTATCATACAGTTATGTATACATTTGACGACCTATAAAACGCTGTTTTGATTTTTTTGAGCGAAGTTAAAGTGGTTATTAGGTAAAGTACTGTACTAGACTTTACGAAGATGTGTTTCCTAAATCTTAGCGTAACGATTAAAAACATTTAAAAATAAAATTACGTAAAATCATACAGACGTACATAAAGTACGTTTAAGAGCTCGCATAATAGCCAAAAAACCGGTTATAAATAGCTTTTTGAAGAAATAATATTTTTTTTTCTCTTTTTTGTTATATTAAATACTTTTAGCAGCATTTATTGTGGGGTACATTGTTGTTTCCAATACTATTCTTGGCAATCCGTTTTCATACATTCCTTATACATGGTGATGCTCTATTTTTCCTTCTTGGCTAGCCTTTGTATGTCATGTCATCCTTTAATTTTACTGGAAATGACACCATCCCATCACGTCATTTAATATGATTTTTATGGGTTCTGTCCTGCTTTGCTACTTTTGCTATTATTTATGTTGGCATTCTAAATGACTCCTGATATCAGTTTTGGGTCAATACCAAGTACCAAATACAGTAGAACCTCGATTATCCGTCAGAGCACCGAACCACCGGTATGACGGATAATCGAAAAGACGGTTAACAGAACATAAAAAAAATAAAAATTCATAGCTCTTAAATTTTATTGGACAATATAAGAGGGATTTATGTTAGTACAGTCGAATGAATATGATTGAACATATTCCGAAATCTTTGTTTGATTTATTGTTACTTCACATTTTGCAACGGCTGAATTTCTTAATCGACGTAAAATCATCAAATATATATTATTTGCTTCTTCTTGCCGAGAATACCGCTCGATGAATTATTGTATGTGCAGCTTCTCTAGCTTCTTTACGCGAATTTTTGTGAGTTGCAATAGCATATTGAACGAGTAGAATCAATCTTGAGTTGATTCAGGCCATAATTTATGCCACGCTCTTTTCAATGTTACTTCCGAAACATCAGCCCAAGCATCCACAGTATGGTCGACAGCGTGTTTTAAAATGTATGCTTTCCAGTATTCTGGCAAAGAATATTCCTCTTCCATAACTAGTTTTGAATATTTTTTCTGTATCTTTTTTTAAATGTTTCAATGGTGGATTGATCCATTGACTGTATGAAGGATGTTGTATTCACAGGCAGAAAAGAGCACGTGATATTTCCATCGTCACTTCGCAGCATACCGGCTACAGGATGTGCAGGTGCATTGTTCAAAATGAGAATTGCCTTTGGTGGCAAATTTTTTGCTTCAAGTATTATCGAACGGCTGGTATAAAAACCTAAAGAACAAGACCTTAGCAAAATAGATAAACAAATTTTGGTGTTCAGTACATTTCCTTTATCTTTTATCTAAAGATACCTTTTTTTACTAGTCAGAAAATATTTCCTGGGACATCCATGGATTGTTGTGCGTAGTAGTTAAAGGAAAGCGCGTTGATATTTATGCCCTTGAAACAACGTGATTTTTTTGCTGTACCAATCAATAATAAAGGAAGGTGATGGTCACCATTTGCATTTGAACACATCGTTGTTTTTGCGTTTAAAATCCGAGTGCATATTTTTCAGACAGTTGTAGTTTAAATCAGTTTCATCTTCATCGATCATAGCTTGAAATTTTCTTTTATATTCGTCAACTACTTCAATTCGATTTTCAGTTTCCGTATACCGTGGCGATTTTTAAACTTTTCCAACCAACCGCTGCGTCCTTTGAATGAAGAATCGCCATTCAATTTAATGTTAAAAAACAACGCTTTTTCAGCAACAATTGGTCCAGACTAAGGAACACCTTCGCTTCTTTTTTTGAACGAACCACAAATACAGAGCCATGTCGAGTGAGTCAATTGTGGCTTTTTTCGTTGTCTTACGATGTTTCACCCGGCTATCCAACGATTCCATTTGCGAAGCATACTTTTCAATTCCTTTAGCATTTTTATTTAAAGCATTTATTGTTGTTCTCGGAACATACTTTTTGCTGAATGCGACAGCAGAAACACCTTTCTTTAGTTCTGCAATAATTTCTATTTTTTTGTTTTTTAATGGACAAAACAACACGTTTGCTTTTTGATGCTCCAGATGTGGAGCATTTTTCAAAACTCAATTGATCAAATTACTAAGTGACACAATTAATGTTCGAATTTGAATCAAACTGAATTATGCTGGCACACAGATATTGACTGTAATAATTATTGTACTGTGCGTTTTTATTTTCGGCTCGCGAGAATTTTTCTCTATTTGTTATTTTTCCAATTTTGTGCTATTTATATTGTTTTAATGTTTTGAAACAGATTTAGGAATATATCTTTCGTAATGAGTCAAAAAAATATGGTATAAATTTAAGTTTGTTCTGTCTTGTGTACTGTGTATGTTCAGGTCATTTGTAGAGCTCAAAATTTTTAAAGCAATTGGTAGTAACGTTTAACAGTATTAAAAAATTGTGCAGTTTTATTATTGGATTCATATTCTTGTTGTGGGACATAATTATTGAGTATTTTAATTTGGTTATTCAAGTTTCCTAGCAACACACGGTAATTTTTAAATAATATTTAAGACTGTTTCTGGAATTTCCCTTGGTTAAGTAAATGAATATAGACTATACAATGTTTAAATAATAACATATGGACCCTGAAATAAATCCCTTTTTTGTTAGTTCCATACTTAATTACACAACTCATAACGACGATATTAATCGTTAAGTGAATTTGTTTCATATACATCCATCTTGTTCACATTAATAAAAAAACTTAATTTGTAAAGTTTTCCATACCAAGTCCATTCTTCTATTTCTTTTTGTTTTTGGGATGCAAAATTTTAAGTACTTTTTCATTCAAGTCCTGAATGTTTTTCTATTAGTTGCCTTTCCAAGCGTAGCAGCCAAAGCTTACAAAAGCCCTTTATCCATTGTGTTTCTAAAATAAGTTTTGTTCTTTTTAATGTTAGAGAGCAACGCTGGCTTTCAACGGCACTAGTAGGAAACTCCAAAAACTTTACGTTTTAGATAATTTTCATTTTTTAAGTAACTCTATTGCCCTGGTATATGAAGATATCTCTTTCACTCTCAATATCTTTTGTGCAATCTGATAATTGGTTTTTGTAAATGTAAAGCGCCCCTATACAAATTTTACTAAACTTCCATCGTATAAACCTGTCCTGGAACAATTTTCCTTAATAGAAATTACCACATAATAACTACTACAGCCGTGGAATGATCATCATCGTTCAATCTTCGCTTGTCCACTACTGGATATAGATCTCCCTCATAATTTTCCATTTGTTTCGATCTTATGCCTCTTGCATTTAATTTCTATGGCAGCGTTTTAGATCGTCTGTCCAACGTCAGCCCTCTGCTTGGGTATGATCCTAATAATGATAATATGAATCATATCAACTTCAGGATGGACGTAGTGAAAGGGTACCTGTTTGCGGGGTTTGAGGTTTTTTATCTCCAGACTCGATAAGTGGAGATCAGGAGCTCATAAGAAAGAAGAAGTGGCTGCCAATGAAAATTGATTCTAAACTTCATAATAGAATCAACTCGTTATAGAACTACGGTGTGAACATCACAAAATTTGAACAATTGGTCATTTGATGTACAACAGTACCAAATATGACCGAGACAAGCCTCACCAAGGTTGATACAACTACTAACTAAATACATTTTTGAGAACATTCAAAAATAATACATTTAGTACAAGGTTTTAGGAATTTTGTTTAAGACTGTTTACTACGCCATGTAGTGTGTGGTTGCCCGATCTGTCGTTACAGTCTTTTTTATTTTTTTCATACCTTTGTGAGATCCATACCTCGCTCCTTCCGTAGCCCGCTATAAGATAGCTATGCTTCCAAAACTTCAATGTTTATGAACATCCCTCTGAGTATGAAGGATTACAGGTACGCGAGGTTCCAGTTTATAGGGATTTCATCATAAAAAGTCGTGTTACAAGCATAAACGATTAAAAAAGAACAAAAATAGGATTGAGAAAGTCTATAAATATTGCAGATTGCAAAGCAGATTGCAAAGTACTGAAACAAAACATAAAGTAACCAAATATTGTATATTTAAAACCAGAAGCACTTCGATTTTGGATTTTAACTTTCGTGCTTGGTATTCACTTAATTTCTTTTAAAACTAAAGCTTTTTATTTATTTGATTGGCGTAGAAATATGTATATAAAACTTTGAAACAAAAGCATTGCTTAGCCTACATAGTTCCACTTTAATCGATTTTTTCCAGAAGCTATTTATGTTGGGAAACCTGGTTAGTGAAAAGTTTGTCTAACCAAAGCAATGATTTATGAATGACACTGATTATGTTTAAGCAAACTGTTATATATATTATGAGAAAACCTTTATGATTTGAGTAGTGATCATTTGAATCTCAATATTTAGAATCTCTTGAAGTAAAGTGACAATTTTTTATGTTTGTGTGTAGTTTTTGTTGTAATGTTTAGGCTTTTCAAAAGGAAGCTTGTCATAGATATAATAATTATCGCAAAAATCGAGATTTTGATAGACTTCATCTAATATCTATTTGGGTCATCTATGTAAAACATATTTGATATTATTTTATTCCAGATGTATAGAGAAAGTCACTGGATTTTGTTTGTATCTTCATACATAATAAGATCTGCCTAGAGCTGAAAAGTTAAATACTGGTGGCTAACTCTGTATATCCATTTTAAGTTATGTTGTTTGACAAAGTTCAAATAGTAATTAATGAGATTGTATGGGATATTTTATGTCACAATGGATTTTAGTTCATATAAATGTGAAGAGGAATCAGTCAAAAGTTAACTGTCCTTTTCTTGATTTTTATTTTCATAATTTAATGATGAGGAAGGTGCTATATCTTCACGCATTTCAAAATGTCAAATAAGTTCAAGTATTTAACGGTCCAATTATTTGGTAGTTAGTTAACCGCACTACTGATGGTTCTATGATGGGATACTTAAATACCATCTACGCTTTTTTGCTTGATTGTGGCGTGCTACGATTATTGCTTGAATTTGACTTGAAATGGACGATGTTTAATTGATTGAGAAGAGATGTTCATGTTGAAGATAACCAGATGTCGTCAACTATTTTATTGATACACTTGGGATGTTTTTTATCTCAATGACTTCTCCCATAATCCTTGGTTTATAAAGTAATGCTTTTTATCTTTCTTATATATTTGGATTATATTGGAGGAGAGATTGGATTAATGTTATATTATTTGTAACTCCGTAAGATTTTATTAGTAACTTATATTTCCTTACAAAACTGCTTCTCATATTTGATCATTGTTTACTTGCCAAAAATTTCCTGTTTCTGTGTTTTTACTTGTTAGTTTTAGTCT